ACTCTCTTAAAAATAAAGATTTCTAACCGGCTGCCACACTAATGTTGGCCATCCTCTTTTCCCCTGTGGGCACAATACCAGCCTGGGACCGAAAAAGGGATCTTCCTCAGCCATGGCTGGCACTCCGGAGGGAGCAAAGGAAACCGACATTTATTGAGTGTTGCGTGCCGGGCCCTGAGACGGGGCTTCTCTCCTGAGCTCCAGCTCAGCCACCACTGTGCAGCCACCACTGTGTCCCGTTGTGACCACTGAGGGAAAAGTTACTGGGGAACAGGATATTCCCCCGATCTCAAAGGATCACCACCACCGAGATAATTTATTCATTGCAAAGGGGAAAAGGTACCTTTACAAGGGAGAGATCCAGAGGCCTCACCCCTCCACCAAGTAGTGGACCTTATTATTACTGATAGCAGGGCTGCCCGAGGCCACGAGCTTCCTGGTACCTGGGAGGATGAAGCACACAGCACTGCCTACGGAGTATTCTTGCTGTAAAAAAGGTTACCTGAGTCTAAAACCTCCTCCAGATCAAACTCAGGGAACACAGGGGCCTGTGAAACAGCTCACACACCACCGCAAGGGAACGCCCCAGACAACTCCAGAACATGGGATGCGGTCCGTGACAATTGGCCAGCACTCTTCAAAACGGCAATGTCATTAAAAAAAAAAAAAAAAAAAAGTGTGTGCAAGTGAATGTAGGGGGAGATTGTTCTACAGTAAAAGTGACTTCAAAACACAACTAGTGCAACGTGTGGCCCTTTACTGACTCCCAGTTTATTTAAAGACCCCCAGCTCTGAGAGACTTGGGACATGTGGGCAGTGTGGGTACGGACGGGCTGTCAGGTCACACAGTGGAGGTGTACATTTTCTCAGGCATGATCATGAGACTGTGATTATGAGGAAGGCTGTCCTCCTTCTCAGGAGATGTGACAGGAAGTTTTGAGGGGTGAAGTGTGATCCTGGCTGCAACGTATCTTCAAATGGCTTGGCCAAAAAAAAAAAAAAAAAGAAAAAAGAAAAGAAACAGAAAAGGTATAAAGAGAGAAAGCAAATATGGCAAAATACGAACAACTTCTGAATCTAGGTGGAGGGCTGATACTGTATTATCACTGGATTACTTCTCATCTTTCCTGGATGTTTGACATTTTGTAAGGTAAAGACTGGGCTACAGTGAGGAGAGGGGACCCCAGGAAGGGTGGTCCCGCAGGTGTGTGCGTACACAACACATAGGGAGGCCGGTTCACCATGTGAGAAAACCAGCGACTCCTGTATGAGATTGAGATTTCAAAGCTGGGCAGACCGGTGTGTGATGTTCCTCTGGGTCTCAGGAAAACTCTCATTTTTCAACGCCAGCAATGTTTTTGTAAAACATCGACCTGAGAGTCAACACTCCCAAATGCCAACACACACGCTGGCTGACCCCAACCTCTGGCTGACAGCTGGGCCACAGCCGTGCAGTGGAACAGTGTGCCGGGCTCCAGGCTGGCTCAGCTCTGTTCTGCTGTGACTCTGGTCTGAGCAACTTCATCAAGTCACAGACTAGAGATAAAGCCACCAGAACAAGAACGGTTTAGCAGGCAGGTCGACAAGCCCCCTTGCTGCATTTCTTTCTACTCAGACACCAATGCTTCTCAGTGACATCCCAGAGAACCCAGACTGGAAAGTCCCTTTATAAGCTTGCCTCTGAGTGTGTTCAGCTCTCCTCTCATACAGAGGGTAGCTTAGGTGGAGCCTCTGGAAAGCTCACCACTTACAGAGGTGTGAGACATGCTAACATGTCTTAGCTGACACTGAGACATGCCTGTGGGTGCTGGCTGGTAAGAGTCTGTGTGTTTATGCAGCTTGAAGAAAGGTGACATACATTCACCTGGCATTCTTAACTCTCGACCGTCTGGGCTGAGACCATCTGAAAACCCCCATACAGAGCCAAGCACCAGGATGAGAAATTCTTGCGAGAATCAAAATCCTCCTACACACACACACACACACACACACATCTATATGTGAAGTCTTCCTCCAGGACAAAATCCTCTAGGTAAAAAACACAACCACCTATAAATGAAAAAAGTGATTTTTCTGGGTAGAAAAAGAAACATAAAGACCGCAGTCTGAAGATTCACTGAATTCAGGGATGCGAAGTGATGAAAAATGCCTCAGACAGTCTAGCAGAGAAGGGGGTGCAGCCAATGAACAGAGCTGGTCTGACAGGAAAATGGAACAGTAGCTGCCCGCAGAACTGGGGAGCTGTTGGAGAAGAGAGCCAATGAGCCCCTGGTCCAGGGGGACAAAAGCACCCGGGAGGGAACAGACTGTGACCCCAAAGAGGTTAACTTAAATTGCTCAGGAGAGACGACTGCTATTTAAAATATGCTCGACAAAGAAAAGTGGAACTGATGAAGGATGGAGTGGCCTCATCTTAACACACCGAGACCTCCCTCAAGGCGGCAAGGTGGACACCCGTCACGGGAGCCTGCCCTCTTGCCAGCAGCTCTGCCTGACTGGGAAACCGACGCTATGTCTGGGAAGACAAAGCCTGGGCAAACCAAACTGCTCACAGATGCCCTTCCTTGAGAGCACCTCCACCCACTTCCCTCGTGACCAGCAAAGTCACTGCAAAACGTGATGCAGCCCCTGAAAGATTCCCTCCTCATCCCAGCAGTGCCAAAGGGGAAAGCCCCACAGTTCTCAGAACAGAACCGACAAGTTGAAGAGATAAGCAAGGGCAGAGAGTTCTCAGCCTTCCACCCCTTCTCCCCGTCACTCCTCCTTATCACTGTCCCAGGAACCAATGCCCATCTCCACACACAACCTCCATGTCTAGACTTACAGTGAGCAAAAGGCCGCTCTGTAGTCTGGTCTTTGCAAACAGAAAGCACCCACCGCAGTGGGGTTTGCACATGTGCTCACACTGAAGATTAAGCAAAGTGAGCATGTCCCTGAAGACTCCAGGGCCAGCGCTGTCACTCTGAACACAGGCAACCTGGCACATTTCTCAGCAGCGAGCAACTCTGCCCTGTCATAATCACATTTCCCACGGGCGCCTGGGTGGTTCAGTCGTTAAGCATCTGCCTTCCGCTCAGGTCATGATCCCAGGGTCCTGGGATCGAGCCCCGAATCAGGCTCCCTGCTCCTCTGGAAGCCTGCTTCTCCCTCTCCCACTCCCCCTGCTTGTGTTCCCTTTCTGTCAAAAAAATAAATAAAAATCTTAAAAAAAAAAAAAATCATCACATTTCCCACCCTGAACCATGGGTATCAAGCCCTCAGGAATAAATTGGGCCATCAGCAGCAATCAAATCCAAGGAAATAGCCAGGGCGAGGCTAGGAAATCATAAGTTAGGGAACAAAATGTAATCCCTGTAGTCCTTCAGAGAGAAAGGAAGACCAGCTGGAGGAGACAGAAGTGGGAGGGGAGAGGAGACCCACACACAGTGTCTTGAAAACACACACATACAGTTCATGCACCCAAGTCAGCAGCTGATTTGGGCTAAGGAGTCACAAATTATTACCGTGGGAACAAGTGGGTATTTGTTCAGCTGGGAAAATAGCAAGGCAAGTAGGGACTGAAAAGGAAAGAAAAAGTGGCAAACATACACGGTCAGGTACTTGGGGTAAGATTTATCCAGGCCAGGCAACCAGAAGAAGTGTCATCCAAAACAGCCTGAATGAAGCCTGGGAGAATTCACTCAAATAAGCCCCCGTGTTATGACAAGCAAAGCTGTAACTCCAGCAACTGCACCCTAGATGACAAATGCACACAGCTGCAGGATCCGTCCCCAGTACGAAGGAGCATACTTTCCGCAGAAACTTACCACTCTGCCCATGTGAGCACGGTAGGGAAGTTTTGAGAACCTGTCATTCTGGAATTAAGACCTCTGTAGAGATCTTTATAACCCTTCCTTCCTCCAGAATGCAATCACAGGGGCACTCCTAGGCCCACAGCCAACTGAAGCCTCCTGTTACTGTAATCGAGGGAAGGATGTGCACCAACAAAACAACACAACTCCAAATGCACAGCACACCTGACAAACAGGGTGGAACTTCTAGTTTTCCAGAGGCGCCATCTGGGGCTTTCTTCTCCATCAGGAACCTCTCAAGAAAGGGCCCCCAGGGACTTAGCACAAGGATTCTGCGACCTCCCTAGACCCTCTGAGCCGCCTCCTCCACTATGCCACTAGGTTGCCTGAGTCTCATGGATATAAAGGAAACTTTAAATACAAGTAATAGAGTGGGTTGGGCAGGGGGAACAGCCAGGGGAGGCTTGAGATGCAACTTAATTAGGAAAGGTTGGGACAGAGATGGAACAGGTGGACCTGTTCAGGAAGGAAGGAGGGGAATGAGAAGTGGGGAAGAAAGCAGTCTGAGTGGGTCCTGCTCCAACCAAAACAGAAAATAAAGCTGGGGGAAGGGGGCGGGGGGAGGCGAGGCAGGAGGAAGTGGTACTGGGAACGCAATGCATGGCCTTACAATCCAGGTATTGCAAAGTAGCGGGATTTAAAAGCCAACGAGAGACAGCAAATCTTTGCGGAGTGAAGGAGCAGGGAAAAGCCCAGCATCAGACTGGGGATTTAGGGATGCGGGTTCAAAGTGCGAAGGGGAGGCGAGGAAGAGATTCTATGAGGGGGCGCAAAGGATTATTCCAGCTTGGGGTTCATGGCCCCAGGCTGGAAAGTGGAGTAGCCTTCATTCGCGATGACAAGGTAGCAGGGGGGCGAGTTTTAGGCAGTTATCTCGGGAGAGAGGCGTGTGCGGGCTGTAGCAGAGGAGAAGGGGTGACCCCTGGCTAAAAGCTGTCGCGATAAGGCCAGAGACTCGGGACCCTGGGTCGGGGGAGGGAGCTCCCGCTAGTCTGGGAATGCCCAGCCTGCGCTCGCGGGCAGAAGGCAACCCCGCCAAAGGGCCCGGGGCCCCAGGCCTTAACTCTTCGGGCAGGAGGGTCCCCGAGGCGGGGCTGGGCCTGCGGTGGTCCCACAGGGCCTCAGGAGGGGCGGGGGTCCGGGACTCACGCATCAACGTGCTGAAGGCCACGACGCCGAGCAGCCCCTGCAGGAAGATGCCGAAACTGTGCATAAGCGCGCCGCTCTCGCAGCGGCCCGCCCCGGACGCGACGGTGGAGGGCGGCCCGCCCGGGAGCCCGCGGCTCGCGTTCCCGGCGGGGCCCTGCATGGCGGGCCTGGCGGAGGGGCGCCAGGCGCCGCGGCCAGCCCGCCCGCCCGGCCTCGCTGCCTGCGGCGGCCCGCGCCGCCGAGCTCCGGGCCGGGAGTCCAAGCCAGGAGCCGCTACCTCCGCCCCGCGGCCCACTCGCCGCCGCGCGTAACCCGACGTCTGAGACCGCAGCGCCTGATTGGCTCGGCCGGGCGTGGGGGCGGGCCTCGGCCGCTCCAGCTCTTCCCACCCCCCCATGGGCGGGACTCCGGCCGGGCGTGGGGGCGGGGTCGTGCGTCCAGGCCACAGGTAGAGCGGAACAGGTGAGCGCGGCTGTACGGGTGGGAGTGAGCCCAAGGACCCCGGGCTCCAGGTCGGGAAGGCAGGAGCCGGGACCATCTGCGACTAAATTTTCTTCCTTTCCAAGATGAAGCGCTCATACCCTGCAGAATTTATTAAAAATACTCCTGGATTCCACCCTCAGGTTTTGATTCAGTAGTTCCGAGACAGGGCGAAATAGTGTGCATTTCCAGCTAGCAGCCTAGATTATTCCGAAGGAGGCCGTGAGGAAAACAATCCAAGGCTCTGCACACAGGCATATTCCTTCCAATCCAGACGTTTGGCGTCCTTCTGCTTTCCTTGTTAGTACGAATATTGTGACCAAAAGCTTATCCTCGATTCGTCAATCAGGCCCGAGTCGACCTTTTTTCTTCCCTAAATATTATGTAAATGGTCATTTTAATCCAATCGCTGTCCTTTTGAAATATACGAGGTTTATACCGAAAACATGGGAACATGTCCCCATCTTGTTCGTCTTGAACATGCTTCATAAAGCCAAATTGTTGGTAACTGCCAGAATCTCTAAGGTCCCCCTCCACACATGCAGGTTTACTCCCACCTTAATCCTCTGACTCCTTGGAACCAGCTCCCTACCTCTACCAGGGCCTCTAGTCCCTATTTTCCCATCTACCTTCCCAGCGCCCTCTGGCTTTTCCCCAGACACTTCTTGTTGGTGCTCTCCAGTCCCTAGCCTTCTTGCTGCATCCACTTAATGACCATGTACACATGGTATTACTCCAGTAGACACTGGGCTACATTTGTGGAACAAGAAAAACTGTATTAGGGAAATTTTCCCTAAAAGATAGCCACCTTGGTGCTCGCTTCGGCAGCACATATACTAAAAGATAGCCACCTCAGAATTCCAATGGGCTAAATGCTTACAAAAGCTTTCTTGGTTGACAGGAATATTAACCTGATTATGCAGAGAACAAAAATGCTATTGGCTCCTTAGAGCCTTCTCTTACAATGCACTTCACACCTCCTGTGTCTTAAATGGCATTCTAGCTGCATGTACCACTGTTCCCTTTTCCCTGCTGAATGGTAACTATTCATGCTTGAGGCCCGCCTGACCTCCCTCTCCCCAGCAGGCTTCCACATGACCTTGTGTATACTGCTCCACTAGAACTTTTCTGACTGCTCCGTTAGGTGGCTGTGCACGTCTCTCTCTTCACAGCTGAGTGTGAGCCTTCTCAGGGTGGGAACTGGTTTTTATTCATCCTTGAATCCAACATAGTGCCTGGCACAGAGAACATGGCAACACTTTTTTAAATTAAACTGAATTTTAATTTATAAAATTTAAAACTCTCCACAAGTATTAACCATGGGAAAATACAGAAAATCAGGTTAAGAAAATAAATAGGTCAGGGAAAATTGTGTTACTGTCTTTAAATCTAAGAAGGTCTCTTATGGGGATGCTCAACAGTTATAGTCCGTGTTCGGAGGGAAACAAATGAGAGGATGTGTACTTAAAGCAGAAGAGATTGTGGGCTGGGCATAAGGAGACTGTTAATTGCTTGAAGATATAGGCAGCTTAAGGAAAGTTGCACATAGAGCTGAAGAATGAAGTTTTTGACAAAGCACTGCTCTGCACATCCAGATGTGGAGGGATCCTTAAGGCCCGTTGCTGCTGTACCAAAGCAAATGTAGACAAATGAGAAGCATTCTTCTGAGATCATGGGCAGATTCCCCAACGCCAGGAGCAAGGTCGCTGTGGGGAAATTCTGCTCTTCCTACCTTTCCTGAACTGCAATTTTAAAGTACCCAAATCCAGAGGGTAAAGATCGGACGACAGGAGAGGGGGGAAAATTCTGGAAAGGTACATTTTATTGAAGTAGGAAGGAACTTTCTCCTCCTTTCAGAGATGATTCTGAGGCCCCACTGCAAAGAGTTTTGAAGGATTTACTCAGGCCAAGATGTCTTCTTTGCTGTCAAATGAAGTTAAACATAGCTTAAGACCTGTTTTAATTCTCTTACAACCACTTAAAACTGTCATAATATACCACAAGTTCTTATACACTCTTATTTACAAAAAAACCCCACGCAAAATATTCATCCAAAATAGTTATTTTTTAATCCCTTGAAGTTATACCCATCAAACTTGATGGTAGTTATTTTAATAGGTATTCTTGTGCATATTTTTCCTTAATTATACTTTATCCTCAATGCATAACTTTTAAAATTGAGAAAAACAGCAAGCAGGAAGGATACAATGCAATATGCATTTCATTTTGTTCCAAACAAGCAGCTTAAAAAAAAAAAAAAAAAAGGATAGCATAAACAAAGTGCATCGGTTCCAACAATTCAGTATCAGAAAGAGGCCCAAGGACAGTGCTGGAACCAGCCAGAAGTCCCACCCTAGCAGGCCTCTGATTGTCTTTAGAGAATATTCAACCAAAAAAAGGATGAAAGGAAGAGGAAAAGAAATGAGCACTTTAAAATCTCAAAAGAAGCATTCCAACTACACTTCCCTAGAGCCTTCTTGCAAAAGGATATAAGGAACTGTCAGTTTTAACTTTGTCTAACCTTTGTACAGGCCCTTCAGGCATCTGCTTTGTGACTTGATTTACCCCCAAAGCCTACCCTCATCCTTCCAGCACTATTTGCCCACCTCCATTCTGCCAAGTCAGGCATGCAGTTAGGTTAACTAAACCACGTAGAAACCCCTCAGGACTGAGTTTCCACACATCCTGAGTACAGGCACCCCCATTAGCAATGGTGGCATCATCTCACTAGGCAGTATCATCCTTTGTCCCCCAAAAAAGATCAGGGTCCACACTTGACTGCTGGTGTTGAGGGCTTGTCCACCAAGGCTGTAGGTTGTTTCTCTTTTAAAACAGTCCTTTGTGATAGGCCATAGCACCAGGACAAACCCAAATGGTGTGGTAAGTCAGAAAAGACATAAGGGGAGGGAGTTTTAGGCCTGTTTCTCCATTCCCCCTCTCCTGGTTTTGCTGGTTCTTGTGAAAAATCTAAGAGTTCTGAAACACCAGAAGCAAGAAAACCTCCAATGCATTTACTGCCCACCACCTTCTATACCTTCACCCTGGCAGGCTGCCCTCAGAAACAAGGCTACCCTGTGGTCTGGGGCAAGTATGAGGAAACCCCAAGTGAGAAGGTTTAGAACCAGAACCATGGATTGGGCTCTGAGTTTAGAACTCTTCTGCAAAAACTCCAAGTCCATAGGTGGCTTGCTTGGACAGATTCAAATTTCCAAAGTATATACATTCTCACACAAGGGGTGAGAATCATCAAAATTCACTAACAGAACATTGTAAAGTGAATCAAGTCATGGAAGAGTTACAACTGCAAGAAAGGGACTGACTTCTTTTTGGCTTCGCAGGGGACTTTGTTCTACAGAGTTTCTGAGATAGCATCATGACCGTGACACATGATTATTTTCAGTGGACCCAGGACCAAAGACATTCACATTTTAAAAGGGGGTCCCTGGTTCCCACCGAGATTTATACTTCACTTGTTAGTGATGTCTTCTCCTTCATCTTCCTAAGGCCAAATGATAACACAGAACACTTCTGAACTCTCACACACACATTCCATCCCTAGTATACGGGATCAGTGCCCAAACCCAGTACGTGTTTCCACTGTCGAGACTAAGCTCCTAACATCTCTCTCAGAGCTTCTGTGGACATCAATCAAATCAGTGAACGGGGTCTTCAATATAAGTCTTTGGTGATAGGTGTCAAGTAAATATAAGTGTGTGTGAGTTTTCCCAAAGGTCCCACCTAGATAATTCTTACCTACTGTTAACGATTTCCTAATGTTCTGTGTGTCCCCCAGAAATACTTTTTGGCTTGCCAGAGGGGAATGGTTCTGAGTCCTGCCATAGCTGAGGCCTCCTAAAGCTTTTAATCTGTATTCAGATACCACATTAGTGACGGAATTAATAAAAGAGAGTGAGTAAAATATATTCAAGTCCTCAGGAAGCTTTGGTCCAAGGCCTTCTCTCTCACAGTGAGAATAATTTTACTTCCAGGAGAAGAGGCATATAAAAGCCAAGCTCTGAGCTGGTTTTCCATGTCTGCCTCTATCATAATTCAATAAATATTTACCAAGAAGCCCATCTCTTCCGGAGGTTGCTAAGTATCCTTCCCTGACCTCATGCATCTACAACATACATGCTGGGAGTCACCTACTTCGCCAAAGAAAGGCAGATATAGGTAAAGCCCCAGTAATGCATCCCCTGCGTTAGATACCTCAACTCTCCAACTGAGAAGGATGAGGGCAGTTTACAAACGAAAATAGCATAGTTTCCAGAAGCCCACAAAATACAGTCAAAATGTCACAGCAAATCTTCATGTACAATAAAAGGTTTCCCTAACATACTAACATAGGCTAAGAGTGGTCGGTCAACTTCAAGGTCCAGGAGGCTTATATAGTCCATTCACCTGTTTCCAAGTTTGTCAATTCAGGATCAAAAAATGGATCATGGAAAACTTCCTGACCTCAGGCGGCTGTGGGGCCAGCTGAAGGTGAAATTCAGACAAATGCAGCCCCTCACAATGTATCTCTCTTAAGAGGGTATCAACCTTTAAAAAACAAAGTTCATGTATCCATGTGTAATATATAAACATTTTACCCCAACATGGTGAGTTATTATCAGGTTTAAAATCTGTTTCAGAATCAGAGGAATTAGACTGTCACTGTTGTCCAGCCAAGCCCCAGCAGCTTTATGAGGGAAATAGAGCCTAAATTGTATACTTAAAAAAAAAAAAAAGCCCTATGCCAAATTCCCAAACAATTACCTTCTCTTATCTAATACCTGGGAGTGGGGGGTGGGGGTATATAATTATTTAATGCAGTTGCCTGAGAAACTGTATCTCACCATGAGAATGCAAGAACTATTAAGGGAAACCCAACTTAGAGTTGGCTTCTCTCTAAGAGAAAGCTGAGCTTGAATAATCACGGTACACAGAGGAGCCAGCCGAGCCCTGACTATATCCAGATCCAAGACTACTCAGGGCCGTGAGTTTCACCTTTCCAGGGGCTCTGCCCCCTTTACCTATGTATGGTTTTGGAGAAGGCGAAAGAGAGACAACTTAACGTATTCACTGTTGCACTTGGTCAATTCTCTTTCATAGGAAGTAAATCTCATTTCCCTAAATAAAAGAAACATTGATCTTCTTCAAGGAACTCCCTTTGCCTCAGTGCCTTAACTGCTGAGGTCTCAGGAACTTTAATTGTGTAAGTTACGCACCCCCTGCCCCAAGACCATGTACTTAACACTAATTGTTCCCAAGCATCTTATATATGCTTCTCTTCCATAGGCATAGAATGACATTTTTAAAAACTGGATCTCTGAGTAAGTTGAAACATATTAACTTTTACTTAAATGAAGCTTCTTTCCAGGTCTATCTGGTGGTTACCTAAGCAAAGAATTGATGCTTTAATATATGGTTTGGTTGGAGGGCTTGAATTAAGGTGGTTCATAAATAATCCAGTGAAGAAAGGGTGCAGACTACAGAATGTCTGCCAAGGTCCATAAACTGTTGGGAGCAGGAGAGGGTTCTGAAGAAAAGGGAAAAATCAATAGTTTAAATTTGTAATATTATATTTGTATAGATGTTTAGAATTCACCAAGTTTGTAGTTTTAAAACATTTTAAAATCCTGAAGATGAGTGATTAAGTTATAAATTTGGAGGTGACTAGGATAATTAAAAAAAAAAAAAACAACCCCAAAACACTCAGCAATGCAAACCATTTAAAGGAAGCAATCTATGTGTGCTCCTTTCCTCATTCCTCCCGGCTGGAACAGCACAGCAAATGCTATTATTCTATAGTTGCTAGCAGTGCAATCCTAAATGAAAATTTCCCTGTAGTTTCATGTCAGCTTGAACTGGGCCAAAAGAAACACCTAAAAGAAAACCAAGTTGTTGAGCCGTTGAGTGGGAATTCTCAGCCTGTAGATTACATTCAATTTAAAGGTTTCACTAAGAGGACATGTAAATGTGACTAGGCAAAGAGGTTTCCAGAATCCTTAACCACCTCTCAATCTTTATGCGGCCACTGAGGACATGAGGACACACTGTTACAGAAACTCCATGCTCTGCATCACCCCCCCAAATGTTTTCTCTGTTGTGCTTCTACACTCTCTGCCTGGAGACACCGAGAAAGAAAGGGAAATGGGTTTTCCTGTGGGTCCAAGGAATACCTACTGATTTTCACCCAAAGTGAGGACTCTCGAAATGAAACAGACAGCTATAGAGGAAAGTAAACATAAAATAAGAGCCACTGAAGTCCCTCTGAGGACTGATGGGGAGAGATCAACTCAACAGAAATACCCACAATCTTTGAGAGACCACCTAACAGGGAGCCCACACTGGGTCCAGGCAGGAAACCATGTAGCAGGGTTCTCAGATCAGGCCAGGAACTGGTATAAGTGCTCACATGGTATTTTTAAGAGAGCAAACAGTGTTTTGTTTTGTTTTTTCTCCAGCTTCTATCATAGTTTTAGTGTTCATGTAGCTTAAAAACGGCATCATACAAAAAAACCTTATACATGGCTGTAAGCTCAATCATCAACAGAGGTAGTAAACAAAGGAACTCCTAAGAATAGATTTTAAAATGGATCAAAGTGTGACTGTACATTCAAAACCCTAGAGCCACGTCATCATCCCCGAAATGAACTGTTTTAATTTAAAAAAGCTTAAAAACACAATGACAATGAAGCACTGATGTGCCTTAGGCACAGTCCCAAATCAGTGCTGACTTAAAGCTATGTCCTCTCTTTCCAAGAAAGAGAAAGCAGAGAACAGAGTTCAATCTACAGTGGGGAAGAACAGAACAAAAAGAAAACAACCATAAGGGTGCTTTCCAGCAGCCTACATTACTCTTCGTTTTCAGGCCACACCACTGGAAATGCTGCTGCTTCTTACGTGAGTCTTTTCTTCACAACTCTTCTTTTTTTTTAAAACTGCAATCTGCTGACCAAGAGATGTCCACATTTCCACTGGCAGGAGAGCCACTTCTGTGCAGTTTTTGCTTCCTCAGTGTGGGTCCTCCTTCCCTGAAAGTGCAAAGAGAGCAAGCCGACCCCGGCAGGGCCCGGAGCCCCAGGGCTGACTCAGCTCCGTGCGCGTAGAGCAGTGAGAAAGATTTGCTGCATTTGTGCTTCGAAGACACAGCGCACTTCGGTTGTCCTTCTCAGTTGGCAAACTGCTCATAGAAAGCAAACTTGATCCTTTCTATGTGGTGGCAGAGTTTGATGGCAGGGCCCAATTTTAAGTCCATGCACTCCTGAACAGTGGGAAGGGTAAGGAGCAACAGGGCCTGCCCGTCAATTTCCTGTTAAAGCATAAAATACGCATTATCTCTGATGTGCACATGGACGGCAGTTCAATCAAGACAGCCCCCGTTCCCTTTGGCTGGGGTCAAAATCAGAGTCCCTGCACTTTCCTTACTTTCCCCCTTAACATAAGCATCACACAGTTTCTTCCAAGTACCCCTGGCAGTCCTCCATGCTAATGAATCTTCAGAATTAAGGATAAACTCTTACCAAGGATAAGAATCCATTCTACAGTTTCTGCTCTGCAGAAATTCAATAAACAAACTAGCTTTGTAAGTGGCTACTAAATGTACCAAAGGAAACATCTTTTTAGAGGATGCTTTCTAAATCTGAAAGAAAATATTAACTATAAACTTCAACGTTTTCCTACTCTGTAACATTCATAAAAGCCTGATGAGCTCGTCAAAGATGTTCAGTTTAGAATCTCCCCAATTATCAAAAAAAAATTAGTTTATTTGTTTAAGGTCACAGACTATTTGTTTCAGAAAACTTGCCTTAAAACTGATCGCCACTTTAGAGCCTAACATATTATAGATGTTAATTATTCTTAAAAACAAGCAAATAATTACTTTGGAAAAGAAGAGCACAATTAAGAACTGCATGCTTGATTTTAAGCCATTTAAATATTTGAGGGATAGAAACAAAGTCTTGAGAAAAATGGCAACACAATGATCATTCGCTTCAAATATGGGGAAGTCGGAATCATGACCTCTTACAATCCTCTTTCTACGACTCCTAAAAGGGGAACTACATTTCTTTTCTTTTGGATAGATATAGTTTTCCTCAGACTTGTAAATAAATCGCTATTACACCCATAGTCCTTTGCTAAAGAGACAAATTACTAAAACTCACAGGTCTCTACAATTACCTGGTCTAGAAATATCCTCGCTAACGGAGCACAGTCGGTGGATCTGATGAACCGGACAACGTCCGCCACACTCCACTTGAGGGGGTTACTGTCCAGATGGAGCCTCTCAGCGACTTCAATCCTGATTTCCTTCATTGCCCGCAACAAAGCAAACCAAATGGTGTCAGAGCTATTTTATTCTAAAAAAGTCTCTCTATATAAATTCATAACCCTTTGAGGCAGGATTTAAAGGGGTTTTAGGGCATGATTTCTCCCAGCAAAGATGGCCAAGGTCCACATACACTAGGTACTCAGGAAATGGTTGTCTTTTATAATAAGAATTATCAATGGGGAAGAATTTATCTCAAAGTTCCAGCACAAATAATTTGGACAATTTAACAGAGAAAAATGGTTTTTAAAGTTTCCTATTTGTTCCCTGGTCTATTTCAACTTGCTGTCTGGTAGGGTATGCAGTGAATGGGATGCTACTTCGGAAGAAAAGAAGGCTTACCTAAATCATCAAGAAATCATTTACTGCTTCAGTTCAGGCGATATATTTAAAACACAACCCAGTTTTAAAACAGTGACTTAATTGCCACTCTTGTAGTGTGTACGTTATGTAATACACATATATGTATATATTAAATATACCAAACAAAATAGCTTCACCAGAATCAAAAGGATAACTTATTTCTACAGAACCATCTATCAAAAATATCAAAAAAGCAGTTTTCCCTAAACTGACAGGTTACAGCTAAAAAAAAAAAAAAAAGTTCCAAAAAATAAAAATAAAATAAATTAAATAAATTAAAAAAAGTTCATTTCTAGTTTAACTCAAAGTAAGCAGCTACTCAGAGAGACCTTCTTTCTGATAGGTAGTTGATCTCCAAATAATCCTTGCAATGCAAGTAAATCACTGAATTTGGAATTCTTTTAAGAGAGACCTGGGAAATTCAACTGAAGCCTGTACTGAAATAAATGGAATGCTCACATCACTAACAATCAGATTTTAGAGGGGCACCTGGGTGGCTCAGTCGTTAAGCGTCTGCCTTTGGCTCAGGTCATGATCCCAGAGTCCTGGTACTGAGTCCCACATCAGGCTCCCTGCTCGGCGGGGAGCCTGCTTCTCCCTCTCCCACTCCCCCTGCTTGTGTTCCCTCTCTCGCTGTCTCTCTCTGTCAAATAAATAAAATCTTTAAAAAAATCAGATTTTAGAGGGAAATTCTAGAGAGAGAAATAAAAGGCACTGTATTTTAAAAATGGGTACCTTTGGTGAAGGAGGTTTATTCTCATCATCAGAAAATGAAAAAGTGCGAAGCTCTCTTTTTCTCCGTTGTCTGTCTGGAGGCAGCGATGTAGAGATCTCACTTTGGGTGGGAGAGGAAGAGCACGACTTTTTCTCTGACATTTCTGACTCTTCCTGTAGCTCGTCCTGTTGCTCAGATGTACTGCCCTCACTCAGGGAATCGTCATCCCCTTCATCTGGGTCATCCTCATCTTCACCCCCACTTCCCTAGAGGAAACGGAGAGAAAAGTCTCATTGAAATTCACGACAAATCAGCTCCTGGGCCACAAACCACCTTCTGCTGGGCCAGGATCTGACTTAGAAAGGCCCGCAGGTCGCCCTTCTGTGTCTGTGCTGGACGGCAGGGATCTCCTGGCTTCCAGACAGGACAGGTACATCACAGACCTCGTACCTGGGGCGAGCCTGCTGGAGTGTTATCAACAGATGCCGAGGAGCGTTTCTTCTTATGGACAAAGACATTTTTCCGCCTCTTCCTCCTCTTACTGGCTTTTTTCAGGGCACATGCTAAGTTGCTATGCCCACCAGGTGGCCTCCCAATTCTTTTATTTTTCTTCTTTCCATAATAGTGTGCTAAATGTGAAGGACAAAGAAAAATGAAGTAGCTTCACGATTTTTGTACACCTCACACCACAAGAGATTCTACTATCACAGCAGAAAACAGGTATACTGTATTTGATTAACGTTTAAATTCTGTATCAGGGAATACTCTTAACTGTCCAGATCTTAAATGTACAGTATAATTAGTACTGACAAATGCATAAGCCTGAATAACCTTCCCTCTATCAAGATATAGAACATCTTCATCAACCTAGAAAGTTCCCAGGGTCCCTTCCCAGTCAGTCCCCCTCACCAGAAGCAACCATATTCCAATTTCCATCGGTATAGATTAGTTTTGCCTCATCTATGGAACAAGATGCTTCTTGGACAAGGTTTCTTTCACTCAGCATGTTTTTGAGTTTCACCTATGTTGCTGTGTGTATGAATACCTCATTCCCTTCTACTGATGAACAGCATTTCATTGTACAGAACATACTAGTTTAACTATTCTCCTGTTGACAGGCACCTGGGCTGTTCCCAGGTTTTGGCTGTTACTATTTGGCAATGAACGTTCTTTTTTTTTTTTCATCCAACAAGAAGCCATAACTTTATTAATGATAGAAACAGTACAAATTTCAAACCAAGCTGCAGTTATTCTTTTGAAACACCAAAAAAAGTCCTCGTGTTCAGATGGTTACATTGTTAATTCCATAATAGCATTTACGGTATCATTACTGTTGTTCTTCAGGGCTCGGACTGCCTTTGCTCTTGACACATTAGCTTGTGACGTGACCGATTCTATGTCCTTAACCTCTACACCGGTTTCATCAACCTCTTCCTCTTCACTCTCCTCTTGTACAGCTGGAGTCTGTGTGTTTTCTTGAATGTTTGAGACAGCTTCACCTTGAACCCTGAATTTCTCAGCAGCTGCTAGTTGTGCCTGCTGAGCTAAATCCTCGATCTTGGCTTCCCCCAAAACTATGTAGGTATCTGAAGCTGGGCTCTCGTAGACATCTGGTTTTGTGATGACAAAGAGGATATTCTTAGACTTCCTGGTAGTGACTCTTGTAACCCCTGTAGGCTTCCATGCCTTCTTTTCACTCTGGCTGTTTTGCTTTACTGACTGGTTCTTCATCGATTCCAGCGGCTGCTGCCAGCTGGGCCTGTTGTGTGGCTGCCTGTGTGGAATCCTGTTCCTCAAGCTCTGGTTCTGAGTCATCACTGTCAGATTCTGTTCCGGACCCTGTCCCAGCCTGGGGCTATGGCAACTCCTGCTCCGTAGCAGGGACGGTTTCTGTGGCTTCAACAGGCCTTTTGTGAGGGGAACGCGGAACCAAGATGGCGGCAGAAAGAGCGAGCGAAAGCGTGACCCACGCCTGCTGCAGAAGGAAGCCTCGACAATGAACATTCTCGTCCAAGGCTTTTAGTGGGCATATTTTTGTTTTCCTCGGGTAAATACCTAGGGATGGAAGTGCTGGATCATACGGTAGATGTAGATTAACTTTTAAAGAAACTGTCAAAGAATTTCCCTAAAGGGTTGCATAACTTGACACTCCAACCAGCAACATGTAAGAGATCTAGTTGTCTACACCTTTGCCAACTTGTGGGACTGTCCATCTTTTTCATTTTAGCCAATTTAGTGGGTATGTAGTAATTTCTCATTATAGTTTAGATTTGCATTTCCCTGATGACTAATGATATTGAGCACATTTTCATGTGCTTAATGGCCATGTATGTTATCTTTTTTGTGAAGTGCCTAATCAAGTCTTTTATTCATTTTTAAAATGGTTTTCTCTTTCTACGTCTTTTTTATTGAGATATGATTCACAATATAAAATCCATCATTTTAAATTGTACATATCCAGTGATTTTTAGTGTATTCAGTATGTTTGCAATTACCACTATCTAATTCCAGAACATTTTCTCTTTTTATTTTTAAATTTTTAAAAATTGAGGTAAAAGTCACATAACATACAATTAACCATTTTCAAATGTACAGTTCAGTGGTATTTAGCATATTCACAATGTCATACAACTATCAGCTTTCTCCAGCTTCCAAGTTTTTCTTATTATGGAGTTGTGGGAGTATTTACTACATCCTGGAGAGATTCTCTGAGCAGAAGTTTTTAATTTGGGGGATTTTTTTCCTTTATGTTAGTGCATTCTGTTTCCTAAGAAATCTTTGCTTATCCCTAGATCTTGATGATACCCTTCTTGTTTTCTTCTAGGAGCTTTACAGTTTTAGCTTTTACCTTAGGCCTATGATATACCTTGAATTAATTTTAATATATAGTGAGGTAGGAACCAAGGAGTTTTGCTTTTGTTTTTTTTTAATTTGGAAAACAAATTGTACCGTAAGTGCCATTTGTTGAAAGAACTTCTTTTCCCTGTTAAGTTTTTCATCTTTGCTGAAAATCATTTAATCACATCAATTTGGGTCTATTTCTGGCCCCTCTGTTCTGTCCCATCACTCTGTGTGACTATTTAATCCACCCCACTACTAATTACTCTACTTTTATGGTAAAACTCAAAGGCAGACACAGTAAGTTCTCCAACTTTATTCTTTTTCAGGATTCTTTTGGCTATTCTAGATCCTGTACATTTTCATATAAATTTTAGAATACAAAGACAATTCTAAAAATGAACCATATATATTCTAGCTCTAAATATATATCCTAGTTATATATTAACATAAAAACAAAATATAATGTAATTTTTTTGCAAAAAAAAAAAGGATTCTACAGGATATAAATCTATTTGGTAACACTCAAATTACTAACTGGGAAAAATCACAAACACTCTCTCCTAAAGTCTAGGCTTATATCATTTAGAAAAATAAATTTAGACAAAAAGCTAATAAAGTCTGCATATCCTCCATAGGCTCAAAGTGATATACATGTATGTAGAGTATATTTCACTTAGCTATTAATACTTGCAATTTGCTAAACTAAGTGCTGAATATGACCCTATAAGCTAACACCAATCCCTGCCTTTAAGGAGTTTACCATCCAACAAATATAAACAGAAACTACAAGGTTAGACTCTTCTATGATTTTGAGATTCAAACACTAATTAGCAAGCTCATCATGCTAAATGACCTCAGATCAGCAGCGTCAACAGTGTCTGGGGGCTTGTTGGAAAAGCAGACACATTTAGACCCCAGATACCCACAGACCTGATGAATCAGAACTTTCATTTTAACAAGCTCCTCAGCTGATCCGCATGCATGATAAAGTTTAAGATACACAGGATTAGAGATCCCTAAAAGAAATCTTCAAATTTAACAAGGTAAAATCTTCCTCTCTATTAATTCTCCCAAGTGACATCAGGGCTTGTAAAATTTAAGGGAAGGTAGGATCAGAATTTTGTCTTTGGGCAACAATGCCTTGACAAGGCTCCGAACTGGAAATTTCATCTATGACGTAAGTGTGCGTGCGCACACGCAATTTCACATATAAGAAGCTAAGCGGTGAGAGGGATGAGGTGTTGCTGTGACAGTTCTGAGTGAGGCCTGAACTACCCCTTCCCTACTACTGATGCCTCCCAACCACGGCGGCTTCTTTGCTGCTCCTTGCAGACACAAAGCGAGTTCCTGCTCCTGCCTGGGCTCTTGCTGCCCCCCGTCCATAACACTCTCACCCTGATGTCCGCACAGCTGGCTCTCTCGCGTCCTTCAGTTTGTTACCTGGCAGGAAGACCTCCCTAACCACCTCTGAACAGCAATCCCACCTCCTAGCCTTCCTTACTCCCCTCCTTTGCTTGCTTATCTTGCCTCACTTTTCTCCATAGTACCTGTCTCTATTTGTTCACTTATTATCTGTCTCCCACACTACAATGTTTATTACACGTAATGTGTAATTTACATTTACATTTACAATGAGCACAGGAATTTGTTTTTCTTTACTGTAGCACCCCAGTGCTGGAACTGTGGTGGCACACAGCGGACACATACTAAGTACTTGCAGACTGTATGAATGAATCACATATCCCATCAGACGCAATAGCTAATTTATATACATACTATATGTGAAAGTTAGCAAATGGGCCTGTGGGCCAAATCTGGCCCATGGCCTGTTTTGGTACTGCCCTCAAGCTAAAAATGGCTATTACATCTTTAAAAGTGTTCCTTAAATGTGAAAATAAAACAAAACAGAGAAGAATATGCAGCAGAGATCATATGACCAACAGCCTAAAATATTCATTATCTGGTCCTTTTTCAAAAACAGTTTGTATACCTGTGTTATAGGTGAATGCTGCAAAAGAAAAACTTTTCAAGATACAAATGGTGGCCAGTTGTCATAGTTAACAAATTTGAAAAACCGGACTCACTGTATTTGGTCTTTGTAAGCACAGAGCAGTTCTCCGAGCACTTGTCCAGAACCATCCTCGGGCCAAAGAGATTAGGACAGCACTCCAGTTTGATGCAGGTTTGCCGGCAGAACTCAGTGACGCGATCTGCTGTCTTCACTACCTCAACAGTAGCCCGGTAACTCTTTCCTTTGTATCTGCCGTGGAAGATGCCAGAGACCAAGTTTACTGGGCTAGTGATTACCCAGAGAAAATCAAGTGCATTCACAGACCTGAAAAATATCTTTGCTTCTCAGGATAGTCTATGTCCCTTATAGTTTGAGGATTCTAAAAATAATGAGTTTATGCATATTGTACTTAAATCAAACTTACCACCTAAGCTATGACAAATGAACGTTGAGGTTTTTATATTAGCAAATGAGGCTCTTGCTTTCTGGTTCCTCAGTTTAAGGTTTCCAAATAGGAACTTCTACACTAACTACTGAAAGAAAAGTGACTTGCACTAAGGCTTTCCTTTACCCTTGGGCAGTGATCCTCAGAGTGTGGTCATGGACCAGGTTCACCTGCCAACGGTCACATTGACAGGGTCAGAAAACAAGAGCAAGTGTTTATAAACTTTAACAGTAATTTGCAAAGGTAATTTTATGGCTCTTAAATCTAAAAACAAATTATTCTTGTGTTTTATGTCTTGTAATTTTCCTATTTCTTATAATTCATTTTTACCATATTTTATAAAAGTACTGGCCCATAACAGGATGGAAACTTGTAAAAGAAAACGAATCTGGTCCTTCACCACAAACAGCTGAGGAAGAACTGACCGAGAGGACATAACTATTCTAACATGATACATGGAAGAATGGGCTCTGTGGCCTGTTAAAGACAGGTAAGAATAAAGGGCAGAGAAGGTTACTTACTTGGCTTTCAGGACCTCCCCACATCCATGCCACACGGAGTCTTTGTCCAGTTGCAGCTCCCGAAGGACACGACTGGGTTTATAGGCTGCATTGATAAGTAAAGTGAGGACCTGCGCTCCATTTTTAAAGCAGAAATATGGGTTGGGAATGAGAAAAGCAGACTATTAAAATCTTGTTATCCCCCAGAATGTCATTTAGGAGATCAATTCTAGTCATATTCATTAAGAAATACTAACAAAATAATAATATTCAAGATACGACGGCTGACCAAAGTGGCAACTAAGACAACAATCAAACCCTCTCAGACATTCAAAACACTATGGTCAGGAAGAAATAGGCACCATGAATTAAAAATTACTCTGGCAAATGCTTCTAAATCCTTCGCCAGTCCTGGTAGACACAGAAGCTCGGCCTCCCCAGACCCTGCCTTGCCACCCCATGGGCTGAAAGCCCCAGCAGTCCTTACATCTGGTATGCACAGAGCATGGCAGCTGGGCAAGCCTGGCAGGTGTGCAGCTTTAACACGGCCCCCGGGAGTGCCACGCAGCCTCTGACTCCTCGACCATGCTCCCACTCATCCCTGCACCATGCTCAGGCAGCCTCTGACAAAAGCCCTTTCTATACGAGCATAGGTGAGCATGCTATGTGAAGAACTGCCTAAGTGAACATTCCCGAAGGAGCAAAAGTAATGATGTGTCTGGTTCATTGAACAATACAGGAGAAAAGTGAGTCATTTCTGATCAAACCTAGCATTGTCACATGTATGGCATGCAGATCCTTGTACGGATGAGTCCATGAGACTGCTGTGAAACTTCCAAGTTCTTTTGCCCTGGGCAAGAACCTTACTTACCTCTCTAAGGACCAGAACACAGTTCCCAGGTCCTACACATTGAGGCAGCTCAGCAATTCTTCCTTTGTTAAGATATGGCCCTGAGAAGCAACGGTGGTTGAAATATATCTTTGGACAGCAATATTTTCCATTAATCATAACTGGGAAATGAAGAGAAACAAATATTCAGAACAGTCATTTTCCACTCCGTGTTTCCGAAGTTGGGTTACTAGGGGGTGGGGGGGGTGGCAAGCATATCCACCATTATATAAAGTTATAAATTATATATATTTTTAAAGATTTTATTTATTTGACAGAGAGAGATACAGCGAAAGAGGAAACACAAGCAGGGGAAGTGGGAGAGGGAGAAGCAGACCCCCCGCTGAGCAGGGAGCCTGATGTGGGACTCGATCCCAGGACCCCAGGACCATGACCCGAGCCGAAGGCAGACGCCTAATGACTGAGCCACCCAGGTGCCCATAAATTACATATTTTGAAACTTAACACGTTGCCTGAGAGTGCCCTTGAAATACCTTAGACTTACAACAACTCTATTACAGAGCTCATCACTCTGCCCACATCAAACAACAGCCTGAATTACATGTAGACTGACTTCAGGGTTAATATGACACTGTTTCAGAGTCTCACACTTCCATCAATAAAGGAAGTAAAGGATTGACTTTAAGAACCCATGATGATGGGGCGCCTTGGGTGGCTCAGTTGGTTGAGCACTGGGCTCATGATTTTGGCTCAAGTCATGATCTCAGGGTCGCTCCACATTCAGCGCAGAGTCTGCTTGAGATTCCCTCTGCCCCTCCCCCAGCCAGCACACATGCTCTCTCTCTCTCTCTCAAATAAATAAAACCTTTAAAAAGAAAACAACTCTTAAAAAATGAATTAAAAAAAAAACTCATGAGGATTCTTTTTTTTTTTTAAGAGATAGAGAGCACGTGTGCATGTATGCAAGCAGGGGGAAGGGCAGAGGAAGAGGGAGAGAGAATCTTCAGCAGACTCTCCACTCAGCGACGAGCCCCATATGGGGCTTGATCTCATGACCCTGAGATCATGATCTGAGCCAAAATCAAGAGTCAGACGCTTAACCAACTGAGTGCCCAGACTCCCCATGAGAACCCATGATGATTCTTGAAAGTCAACTATTCAGTAATCTCTTCTGGAATATTTCTAGGCAGTGATGATGAACATTTTCCAGAACTACAGTTTGTCCCCTTAAAACCACCAAACTAGCATGTCAGCAGTGCTCTATGAGGTAGGCATCCTCCCACGCCTGGGATTCCTCCGAAGGCTGAAAGTATGCTATGAACACATCTCTAAGTTCTGTAAGTACTGTGGGGTGTTACGTGGGCATAGAGACCCCTCTATTTTCCCGTGTGAATGCTATACTTCAATGTAATGTTTTTTTATTCCCTCATCGAAGTTGGCAATTCCACTAATAAATATACGAAATTCAAAGACACTAAAGCAGAGAGAAGCCCTGCTGATGGACACTGTTTTGGGAAAGGGAATGTGTGCACTGCCCACTGCTGATAGGATCCTGAAGCACAGAATGTTCACTCTGGAACTAAGAATGCAGTCTCAGCACAGAGGTCAGCATGTGGGCGCCCACTTCTCCATCTGAACTCTGCCACCTAGATCCCCCTCTTCAGGATTCAGGCCCGTATGCTCCCCCCTGCTGGCAGTATGGGCAGCAGATGGCTCTCAGCTGGATGTTATCCTGGAATTAGCCTCAGCCTACCCTCTCACTAGGAGAGAGACACCTTGCCCAAGGTCCCACCCTTCGTGAGTAGACAGGGAGCTGCAGCCCACTTCTAATAACTGACCAAAAGGGAGTACAAAGGTGTGGCCACTACGCCTCAACTAGGGATGACTCTGAGTGGCCACACCAGCTTAAAGGCTCCCTTGTGGGCTGGAAGAAACTTCTGTTACAAACAGCACTGCAACTCAACTTCTCCCTCTGCCCAATCCTGCCCTCCGCCCCTGCAGCTGTTCCCCAAAAGCACTCCCCAGTGACACTCCTGCATGCAAATATCAGTCTCAGACTGTTTCCAAGGTAACCAGAACTATGACAAAACACAAACCAAAAAAGAACATGGCTGAAGTCACTTGGGAAATATTAGTGTCTTAATTCTATAGTTTTAAAGACTTGCCTTACTTTTTTAATTTACCTTACCTTTTGATACCAAATCAAAACCACAATGAGCTATCACCTCGCACCTGTTAGAATGGCTATTATCAAAAAGACAAGAAATAATAAGTGTTGACGAAGAGGTGGAGAGAAGAGAACACTGGTACACCACGGGAATGAAAACTGGTAGAGCCACTCTGAAGAACAGTATGGAAGTTCCTCAAAAAGTTAAAGAGAGGGCGCCTGGGTGGCTCAGTCGGTTAAGTGACTGCCTTCGGCTCAGGTCATGATCCTGGAGTCCCGGGATCGAGTACCGCATCGGGCTCCCTGCTCGGCAGGGAGTCTGCTTCTCCCTCTGACCCTCCTCCCTCTCATGCTCTCTGTCTCTCATTCTCTCTCTCGCAAAAAAAAAAAAAAAAAGTTAAAGAGAACTATCCTGTGATCCAGTAATTCCACTTAGGGTGGAATTTATCTGAAGGAAACAAAAATACTAACTTGAAAAGATATCTGCCCCCACCCCCGCCACATTCATTGCAGCATTATTTACAATAGTCAAGATATAGAAGCAACCTGAGTGTCCATGGATGGATAAAGAATGGAATATTATTCAGCCATTTAAAAAAAGAAATCCTGTCATTTGTGACACCATGAATGGACCCTGAGTTTACTCACTAAGTGAAATAAATCAGACTGAGAAAGACAAATATCATATGATCTCACTTATATATGGGATTTAAACAAGACTCCAACTCACAGATACAGAGAACAGGCTGGTGGTTGCCAGAGGCAGGGGTAGGGAGTGAAGGTGGTCAAAAGGTACAAACCTCCAGTTATAAATAAGTAAAGGTGGTCAAAAGGTACAAACCTCCAGTTATAAATAAGTCCTGGGGATGTAATGTGCAGCATGGTGAGTGTAGTAGTAATATTACTGTATTATACATCTGAACATTGCTAAGAGAATAGATCTTAAAAGTTCTCATCCCAAGAAAAAAAAATTATAACTATGTGGTGGTGGATATTAACCAGACTTACTGTGGTGACCATTTTGCAATGTATACAAGTACTGCAAATCACTATGTTGTACATCTGAAACTAATATAATGTTATATGTCAATTATATCTCAATAAGAAATGGGTAATTTTAAAAAAGATATTTACTAATAATGCTATTCTGCTGGGTACTCAAAAGATACCATTATAGTCAAGTAAGAGTTATCCTAGCAATGTAAGGATGATTCAACATTAGGAAAAAAAGCTATCACTGAGATTTACCACATTAATAAGCTTAGACAGAAAAATCATATGATCATCCAATGCTAAGGAAAAATTATTTTGTCAAGGTGAACATGTGTTTATGACCAAGGTTCCTAGAAAACTAGAAATAAAAGGGTACTTCTTTAGCAGTTATATGCCAATCACCTATTGAATAAAGTTTAAATACCTTCCCTTTAATATGAATAAAACAATGATGCCACTGTCATCATGCCTGTTAAACACAGGGATAAGTTCTATAAAGAACCATAAGGAAATAAAAGTAAACAAGTATAGCAAACTGGTTATTATAATGAAGATAATCACTTTTTGAAAAGGCCCTGATCCTCATCTGTAAGAGATAGAATGAGAAGGCAGTGAGTGGAAAAGACAAAAGTGTGAGTTTTGAACTTGCGAAAGAGCCGAATCACATTTCTTTTAAAATTTTATTTATTTGAGTGAGAGAGAATGAGAGATAGCACGAGAGGGAAGAGGGTCAGAGGGAGAAGCAGACTCACTGCTGAGCAGGGAGCCCAATGTGGGACTTGATCCCAGGACTCCAGGATCATGACCTGAGCCGAAGGCAGTCGCTTAACCAACTGAGCCACCCAGGCGCCCCCCAAATTACATTTGACCCATCTATTCATAAAGCTGTGTGGCCTCTCTGAGCTTTGATTTCTTTTCTTTTCTAGGCATTTACTAAATGCCATCCAAATGCATAATCTGTGCTAGAATACACACCGCCAAGATGCTAAGCATACAACCAGCAAAGGCGGAGCTGAGAGCAGTTCCAGGGAGAGACCCTCTGACAAAAGGCTTTGGCCTCCAGCAATGATTCTTGCTTCATTCATCAGGCATTGCCTCTGGGACAATCTATTTTTCCAGTGCTTTATTTTTTTATTTTTTTAATTGTGAAATATGTAGCATAATGTGTGTTTAAAGAACAATAAACATCCACCTCTCAACCACCCAGCTTAAGAGACTGCACTGCCTAGAAAGCCCCTGGTTCTTCATCTAAACTCAGGGATGAGAATATTGACCCCTCCAGAGCCCTTGGTACCCAACAAGTGATCAGGAGAGAATAGTTATAATTATAAATGGACAAAAATATCATCCTAAAGATAATTATTAAACTAAACACACCTCAGACAATTGTTAAGTCTTTAAAGTCACCATTAAGAGACCCCTCTGTGAAGCTACATCCTATAAATCAAATGTACTGTTTCAGATACAGTCCATTAAAAGAAACAGAAGGTTCTCGTTTCCATAAGGCTGCATACACTTATTTATACCTGAGTCTGTGGAGTTCAGCTCCTGATTCTTCAGGCCCTCATGGACAGTCCTGGAGGATGGTATTCTGGGTCAAGATAACACAACAAAATAGTAAGATAATCCTTAAGGTCAGTGAAGTGTGAAGGTTCGTTCCCTTCAAATCTAAGAAAGCAAATGTGGCAGACTGCAAACTGTATAACAGAAGGTGCTTCCCTGATCACACTTTTATTTTTTTAACAATTGTTTTTAAAACTATGTACATGGTTTAACGAGCCAACAGTCTGTAATACTTCATATTCAAATCAACTTTCATTCATGTGAGCAACAAATTATAGAATTCCTTCTGGGATTCTCAAACCATAAGCAAATTTTTCATCTTTTTCAATAGTCAAAGAACAAAAACATTCCATATAAGGGTCTATTTTCTTCTATCAGTTTCAAAACTAAAGACAAATTATGTTTTAAAAATCAGAGAATTATTCTCTATGCAGCAATCAATGAAAAAGGCTAACTTCTCGTTTTTAGATTACTTCGTGACTAAAACTTTGGATCCGTCTCGACAACTAAGTCAAGGAGAAATCCAAGGCCAGATTGTTGACATTGCTATCTCACTTCTCTACCTGGAACTGAATTCTGTGGCCTCTCTCTCCACGTCTGATGTCAGTTTTATTACTCACACAGCCACAGAAGCAGCCCTAACTTACACAGAATTTGCTATAGACTAAATTGTGTCCCCTTAAAATTCATTCCCTGAAGCCCCACTGTGACTGCGTCTGGAGATAGAGCTCTTACGAGGTAAATAAAGGCGTGACTCTGACCTAGGAGGGCTGGCTCTCCCTTCCAGCTGGCCGTACCATGTGAGGACGCAGGAAGAGAGCCCGGCCAGAACCAAATTGGGTTGGCACTTTGACCTCGGACTTCCCAGCCTGCAGAACTGGGAGAAAATTAATTTTTGTTGTTTGAGCCACCCAGTCAGTAGTACGTTGTTAATGGCAGCTTGCGCAAACTAATACAGAATTGAAAACCCAGTGTTTAGAAACACACATGTACATTATTTTTAAGGCATCACTAATTAAATTGCTTCTCAAAAGCTATGTATGAAGGTATAAAGGGTTTCCCAAAAGAACACAAAGGCACCCCTGAGTGCACCTTTTCTTTCAGAGCCACTATCTTCCACCTCAAGTTTTTTTTCATTGTGACAAATCATATCATATCCTAATTTATAATTTTTGCTCTTCCTTAACAAATAACAGTACAGAGATTCTATTTCCTCTCTTATGCAAATGCTTTCAGGCTCTAAAAGCCAAAGAAAACTCAACTGGTGGGAACATCTTGAGAAGGCATTTTACCCTTTTGTATATAATGCCATTTCAGAAAATGCATATGGTGTAAGTAAAAGTATGTAACCTATCAAAAGCTGAATTAAAGAATTATGCCTCTACCTGAGAAAATAACATATGAGATGTACTCTCTGAAATAGTGATTTCTTTTTCTAGATATTCTAACTTTCAAATGTCAACTGTTCAAACATACTAGTATATTACTTACTGTTTTTCTGGTTGAACCACTGCAATTTTCCTCTGTTTGTGTACTGTAAGAAGAAAATAAAACTATAAATGTCAAGAAAAATAAACAAAGTTATATATATATTAAGCTAACACTAGCATATTTAAAACCCAGTCATGTGTATATTTAACTAGTAAGTACTATGAATTAAGTGCTGATATATCTGAGTATCTAGACTAAGGCACATTTTCTGGGTAGGAGGAGTCTTTATACAAAGACCAAAAATAATATTTGCAAGGTTCTTAAATCCATTGACTCCTATGAATATTTTCTACACAAGAAAAGATAGTCAAAAGAAAAACTGATTTGGGCAAGGATGCCAAGACCGTTCAATGGGTCAAGTACAGCCTTTTTAACAAATAGAGCTGGGAAAACTGACTACCCACATTAATGAAGTTGGACTCTTACATTATACCATATACAAAAATTAACTCCAAATGGATCAAAGACTTAAACATAGGGACCCCTGGGTGGCCCAGTCAGTTAAGAGTCTGACTCTTGGTTTTGGCTCAGGTCATGATCTCAGGGTCATGAGATCAAGCCCTAACATTGGGCTCTGTGCTGGGTGTTGAGCCTGCTTGAGATTCTCTTTGTCTCTCTCCCTCTGCCCCTCCCCTCCCCTCTCTCTCAAAAAAAAAAAAAAAAAAAAAAAAGTTTTAAAAAAAGACCTAAAGGGGCACCTGGATGGCTCAGTCAGCTAAGCATCTGCCTTCAGCTCAGGTCATGATCCCAGTGTTCTGAGATCAAGCCCCACGTCGGGCTCCCTGCTCAGTGGGGAGTCAGCTTCTCCCTCTCCCTCTGCCCCTCCCCCTGCTTATGCTCTCTCATTCTCTCTCTGTCAAATAAATAAAATCTTTAAAAAAAATAAAAAAATAAAAAAAGTTTTAAAAATAAAAAATTTTTAAAAAGACCTAAACATAAAGGCTAAAACTATAAAACTCTTAGAAGACAATGTAAGGGAGAATTTTCATGACATCAGATTTGGCAACGATTTCTTAGATATGACATCAAAAGCAGAGACAACAAAAGAAAAAATTAATTGGACTACATCAAGATTTAGAACTTCTGTGCACCGAAGGACACCATCAAGAGAGAGAAAAGGCAACCCACAGAATGGGAGAAAATATTTGCAAATCATGTATCTGATAAGGAAAGGATTAATATCTAGAATATATAACAAAATCCTACAACTCAGTAACAACAAAAAACCCATTAAAAAAATGGGCAAAAGACTTGAATAGACATTTCTTGAAAGAAGATATACCAATATCAATAAGCATATGAAAAGGTGCTCAACATAGTTAATGGTTAAGAAAATGCAAATCTGGACCACAGTAAGATACCACCCTATACCCACCAGCATGGCTATTATAAAAAAGAAACAAACAAAAAACCACCCAACAAACAACAACAACAAACCCAAAAAACAAACAAGCAAACAAAAAACTCAGAAAGTCATGTGGAGAAAGTGGAATGCTCACACAGTGCTGGTGGGGACGAATAGGGTCTAACAGTTCCTTAAAGTGTTAAACACAGAGTTACACTCAAGAAATGAAAACATTGTCCACATAAAAGCCTGCAGACAAATGTTACAGCACTGTTACTCATAACCGCTACGGAATGGAAACAACCCAAATGTCCATCAACTGAGACCCAGATAAAGAAAACATGGCCTATCACTACGATGCAATAGCACTAAAAACTACACTGGATGAACTCTGAAAACATTATGCAGAGTGAAGGAAGCCCATCCCAAAAGATCACATGTTGCACGATTCCACAGGAATTGTCCAGATCAGGCAAACCTATACAGTAGGAAAACTAGGGCTGGGGGGCAGGAGGTAAAAAGGTGACTGCCAAGGCGTACAGGGCTTCTTTCTGAGATGATGCAAATGTTTTCAAATGTTCTGTGGTGACAGCTGCACAACTCCATGAATATACCAAAAATCACTGGATTATAGGATCAAATTTTATGTTATATAAATGACATATTCAATAAAGCTGTTTTTAAAAGGGAGAGTGGGGTGGGACGTGTCAGGTTAGGTTACCAAAACACTCTGGCTTCCACCTTCCTCAACCTCTCTTCCTCTCTTCTTGGCTGGCTCTGATGGAAGCCAACTGCCATGTTGTGGGCTCCCCAACAAAGAGGGCCACGTGGCAAGAAACTGAGGGAAGCCTCTGACCAACAGCCAGCAAGGAACTGAGGGCCTCAGGCCAAGAGCCACGAGGGAATGACTCTTGCTACGTGGCAGCAGATCCTCCCCGCTGTGGGGCTTGAGATGGCTGGAGTCCTGGCTGAACCTTGACCGCAGGCTCATGAGGGGCCTGGATCCAGAGCACCCAGATTCCTGACCCGCAGAAACCGCTAAGATAATCCATGCTTGTTGCAATAAGTGATTTCCTATGCAGGAACAGACAACCAGAACACCACTTTGTTTTTCTCTGTAATGTCCAGATTCATCCTAATTTGGAAGCAGCCACACAGGATCAGCCCCCTGGCCCAGACATAGACAGCTACCTCGTGCTCGGCGAGGGGTGCTGAGGGGATGGCCATTGGTTTCACACCAGCCCAAAGGAAATATATCCATGGATTCCACACTCACAATACATTCCGGTATGGGCTTCTTAGAACCTGTTTAGATTAAAAAAAAGTTTTAGACCATTAAACAGCCTTCTTCATCAACTACTTTCTAGACAATATTCTACCACTGCAGGAATGCAGACACAAAATCACCTGAGCAAGTTCCTTTTACACAGAAGTCATACTTTTTTGTATTGACAAACATTAAGGAAAAAAATTAAATATGCCCTATGCATACCTGTACAAAAATGAAAATGGGGGCGCCTGGGTGGCTCAGTTGGTTAAGCATCCAACTCTTGGTTTCGGCTCAGGTCATGATCTCAGGGTCATGGGATCAAGCCCCGCGTCAGGCTCTTTGCTCGGCGGGGTGTCTGCTTGAGATTCTCTCTTTCCCTCTGCCCTTCCCCCTCCCTCATGCTGTCTCTCTTTCTCTTTCAAATAAATAAATAAATAAAATCTTTAAAAAAAAAAAAAAAAAAGAAAAAGAAAATGGGTAGTGGGCATACAGGGTGACCCCTAGTTACAGAACAGCAAATAAGCAACTGCAACTACCAGCAGTATCATTCAGATGGCTGACAAATATAGTCAATTCCATGAAATAGCTGGAAACGAAAGGCAACAGTGACAGTTTTACTCAATGAGAACGTTAATTCTGGTCCTTGGGAACAAGCTAGAAGGTAGAGCAGTGAAGTCAACTCGGGAAGTGATGTTGCTCGGTAGGGGTAGATTCAATACTGTCCCTGACATCTGCATTAAATGCCAATTCTACAAACTGGAAAGAGTAGGTACCAAGTCTATTTGGTAGCCAAATAAGAAAGAAACCCAGGCCATCTATTCAGTAACTGCAGTGCTGAGTGCTCACATAATGCTTTCCATCCACAAACCCATCCAATCATTGAACATTACTTTTAGTATATCTTTTCTATTTTACATACTTTTTGGTTCTATTGGTTAGGGGCAAACAAAATACTATCTCTTAAATGAGCTACATGTTAATGCTCACGCTTATATATTCTGGTTACATCAAAACATATGCCTTCTGACTTCTACTTTCTCTTCAAGAAAACAGGAGACTCTGCAGTCAAGGCTTTTTGCTTACATTCATTTTCTAAAATTTGAAAGTCAAGGACGGGAAGAGAAGTTTCTAGCTAAGAATCTTGCACTACAAATTACGAGGGTCTTAGCAAGACCCCCACTTAGCTAACTGCTGCAGTCTAACAAGCCACATCACCGGGGTAAGCAGGTGGGGGAGAGACGAGCGGCCGCAGGGGGGCGTCTCAGGGGTCCAGCACTCACCCTCCAGCTGGAGCCACAGGTAGGAGCCCCTCAGTGCAGTAATGGTGGCAACGCATACTTCTTCGGGGAGAAGAGGGTTCACTGCCTCAAGCTTCATATTCTCCTTAAATTCATGCTCAGAAATGGACTGGAAAATAAATGATCAAATCCAAACACATTCTATTAACTCATGGGCTCATCTGAGAGACCTAGTCCAAGTAATACTTAACTCTACGGTAACACTTTGAAGCTATACATTTATTTTGCTTTGTTTTGTTTCTTAAAGTCAAAATGTCTGTCTCTCTTGGTGCTGTAAGCAGTATATGGTCTCTGAGGTCAGGTATACCCACGTTATTACTACCTGTGGGACTGCGCTCAAGCTGTGTAACCTCTTTTTGCCTCCGTTGCTTCATCTGTCAGATGACCCTGAGAACACTTACCTCACTGGGTTATTAGTAGTTTTCAATAACATGAAGTACCGAAGGCTCTGTGCCCTGAACCACTGTTGGTTTGTTTCTCCTCCCATAAAGGGCTTGATCACACAATACGCTGCCTGGTTCCTACTTATGTGTGTATCATAAAAAGCAGTCAGGATAAATAATGCTTATGAATGAGGGAAAATATATGTTTGAAAAATTTGCACCTTCTGGGTCAAAATGGAGAATTGAACCATATTTGATTGTTCTCTCTTCCTTCTGACAGCACACTAAAACGAAAGTGTTGGGTTTTGTGGTTTTGTTTGTTTTTTTTTTACATAAACCTACTAGGACAGATGTAACAGGAGACAATAACAACATTTTATAAGCTAAAATTTAGAAGAGCATCTAGAACTAATGTAGCAGATTACAGAAGGGTGAGTGTAAGCTGGCAGCGAAGCGGGCTAAGAACAGGCAGCTCCAGGTACTAGGCAACTGCAGGTAGAGAAGAAATAGTCAAGATATGCTGAAAACATTTAAGAACCAGTTAGGTCATACCATTGGCTCCTCCACTCCACACCCCAGAGCAACTATCCCATCCCTTCCCCTACAAAAGGTGAGATGTATCCTCCAGAGAGGATCAGAGACAAGAGATCGCGGGCAGGAGGGCATGGGAGCTGCTGGGAGCCTACATGCAGTGCCCAAAACAGGGGTTTGCACATGGAATGCTGAGAGGTCCAGCCCTTGCCTCTAAGACGGGGAAATACGTGGTCATATGACAAGCCCAAGAAGAAACACAACAAGATATGGATTTAGGTGTCCCTGACAAATGGCCAGCCAGATCCCACCCTAAAAAGAAGTTCAAGGTTGACAAACCCCACCCACATGCTCAGAGCCTCCAATCGGCTTTAACTTTTAGTACCCCCCTTCTTAAATATGAGCAAATCACCAAGCATTACCAGACATCTAAAAACATGAAAGCTAGGGACCAAAGTAGACAAAACAAGCAAAGTGGAGAAAACTTTTTATGCAAGAAGAAAATTTCCCAAAAGGCAGGGGTAATTAACATCCCCTGAGTGATAAGAAAAACTATCACATCTTTAAAACAAGAATAATATGCTATTAAAAATAAATATTCAGAGACCAGAAATAGTTCTGGAAAATAAAAATTTAAAAAAGTGATAATAAAAATTAAAAACTCTAAAGAAGGGTTGAAAGATAAAGTTTGGGAAAAGTGGTCTGATCCAGAGGGCCAACATACAAATAAAAGAAAATCCAGAAAAAGAGAAAAGAGAAAATGCAAGGAAGGAAATCAAAGAAGAGATGCAAGAGCACTTCCCAGCACAGAGAGGAACAAATATCTAGAGAGAAGGTGCTCGCTGAGAACCCAGCAAGTGAATGAACACAGGCCAACAAGCCATGCTGTGGCTCGGCTAGGAAACGTGGTGACAAAGATCTTATAAACCTTCCAGGAACGGAGTAAAAGGCAGATCATCTATGAAAGATCAAGAATAAGGACAGGTTTCAACTTCTCGACAGTTCCACTGGAAGGATGAAAACAACTAAATGATGTTTTTAAATTGCTCAGGTAACTTCTGACCTAAAATTCCACATTGAGTCAAACTATCAATCAAGTTAATAGAATGAAGACATTTTCAAAGATGCAAAGTCTATTAAAATTTACCTCTCTTGCGTCTCATTTCAGGAAGCTACTGGGAGATGGGCTCCATCCAAACAAGGGAATAAACCAAGAAAGAGGCTGCGGTTAGACATAAAAAACAGGAATCTTAAATCTTAAGAAAGGGGAGAGGCAAATCCTTGAGTGACACTGAAGGCAGTCTCCAGGCCTAAAATCTCACGGCAAGCCCAGTGAGCAACCTGTCTGGGGAGAGAGAGAATGGAGGTTGCTAAGAGGGATGTCTCTAAGAAAAATATTAGAAATGACAAAGTTCCTACATCAAGGTTATCTAAGTGGTCACAGACTCAAGGAAAAGAGAATGTGTCTATGGAATATCTTGTACTTTAACACTTCTACCCTAAAATACAAAGAAATAACTGTAACTAGGAAAAACACAGAGGTCTAGCTGGACCCAAGAGACTTCCGGGAAATGCTACAGGGCAGCTATGCGAGCATTCGCTCCGAACACGGGACTATGACCCAGGCCCAGGTGCTAGTGTTCTTCATAGTCATCTCGCCTCGCTCAGGGCGGAATCTCAGACTCTGCAGAAGTGGTTGGCGCCACAGCCTTTTCTTGGTCCTCCTGGGCTCCTGTCAGTGAGACAGCTGCCTTCCTCTACCACACACACCCACAGAAAACGATAGCTGCTGCTGGGAAGAATAAACCGGAGTCACTGGAAAACCGCTGCCGAAACAGGTGTGGGTAGGAGAAGCGTGAAAGGATGGGGGAAAGGAGAAGTAATTACAAACTGACAAGAAGGTTGCATCCCTATTGCTTCAGAGTATCAGACTCTTAATTTTGGCTCAGGTCATGATATCAGGGTCATGAGATCAAGCCCCACCCCGCCTCAGGCTCTGTGCTCAGCAGGGAGTCTGCTTAAGGATTCTCTCTCTCTCCCCCTGTCCCTCACCCCACTTGTGTTCTCTCTCTCTCTCAAATAAATAAATCCTTAAAAAAAAAAGAAAATTAAGTTATGAAAAACAAGGCAATTATTAACTTGAGGACAAATAAAAAAAAAGAAAATCATAAAATAATGCAGTGCTCAGCTGTGAATAATATATGACTGCATATCATAGTGTAAATACTCAATTCAGATTTAACCCCGAACTGTAATATAACTCTAATAGGAAGAAGAGGTGAGTAAGAAAGAGGAGGAAGGTAATATAAAATAGCTAAGTGCTCATTTACCATAACATACAACCAATAGACATGTCTAAAATTAATGACTCAAAAGATGGCAGCATACTATTTTGAAGATGATTTAAGTATAAATATCAGAACAACAGTGAGAACAACGGGAATGAGTACTCGTGGAAAGGGAGACCACAGAAAGGGACAGGGCAGGGACCTGTTGTCTTATGTTGTAAAGCTTTTTACTGCTATTTGGCATTGTAAACCATATGCATGTAATATTCTCACAGAAGTATTTTTAAATAACCTTAATGATTTCTTTCTACTTAATATTTAAACATTTTTTCATATTTTTTTAAACAACGAAAAATAATTATGAACTAAAAAATGTACATGATTTCAACTAAATAAAAAAACTGATAAACTTTAAAAACCAATTAAATTAACAAATTAACTTCTGCAGTCAATTAGTTTTTCCTTGGACCATTTTATTATACTCAACAAGCTGCTCATTTGGGTTGAGTGAGAGGACTGAGTAATAACCACGTGAGCATGGAAAGCACAGCAGTGACTTGCAGCCCCAGAGCATGGCAATGAGGGGACCGGGGTTCTCACCGGAGGAAAGCACCTCTGGGGAGCAGCTTCAGCACCACACTGTTTGAGGTAGTCGGCCCAATCAAAGTCCTGGCCCGGGTAGCCTAGGTAAGGACACAAAAACAATGATTCACACCACACGTGCCTGCCTGGCTCTTCCACTCTCCAAGGTGTCCACCCACAACTTCTCATTTGCTAATTTGAGGACTTTGCTCATTTTAGGGAGGAGGAAAAACCACCTATAAATCCAAAGCATCGTTCAGGTTATAAAACAGAGCAACTCTGGTCAAACCATAGCAATATAATAAAATTCTTCAGATATGTTTTTTAAACTTTCAAGTTTCAAACTATGCATTTATTTTCAACACTACTTTATATGATTAGCTGCTGGCAGTTTACTGGAAGAATTTAAGCCACTTACGACTGGACTTGATTTGTACTAATAAATCCAGTCTTACTCTCCATTCTCTTCCAAGTTAAGCTCTAAAGGGAGAGCCAGCAGATGGTCTCTTTCTTCTCACGAAGCTATGCCTTCACACATCCTAGCCACGCCCGACACAATGCTCTCGGCACTGTTTTCAGATTCCTGTTCTACAGAATCTCAATGCTCTTACAACCTCAATCATGAATTCATTTCAGAAGGAGTTGAGCTTAACTGCCTGCTTCAGTCCACCACGGTTGGCGGCAGAGGCCTCTCCAACCCGACGCGCTGGCTGCACCGTCTGCCCGGCTGTTTCCGGAGCAGCCCTCCCTGTCGCACAGAGCGGAGGACCTCGCAGGCACACGCGGGCCACTACGCCACCTGACAGCCGCCCAGGCCTCTGCAGTCCCTCCTCTGCCCACCTCAGACCGGCACCACGCTCTCCCCCTGCTTCCACCTCTAACCCTCACAGCAAATTAGCTGCATTTTCAATTACATAATCCACTACTTTCCTCCTACTTACAGAGACAGAGGAGTTGTCTATAACAATGCTGAAAGCTTCAATAGCTTTAATAATTGCTTTTCCTTTTCACATAACGGCAGCAGGTAAGATAAAGAACTTGGATGTCCAGAGCCTTTCAGCAAAGCAAGAACATCCTCCTGCAGGCGTGTGCCCTCCTGCCACCACCACCAGGCAGGCATGCCCACTCTCTGTTCACTGATGGAGAACCTGGAGACTCCACTACTGTTTTCCCCTACTTGCTCCTTGAAGGAACTGTCATACTCACTTTTGTCTCCCCAGTGACAGACAAAGCCCAATGCCTAGCTCATAGCAAACATTCCACAAATGTTTGTTGGATGAATGGAGGCTGAATAAACAGCAAAAGGGTCTGAGTTTATGACTCTTGTTAACACAGAAGAGTACTTCTAGCCCAGTGTTCCAGCATTCACCATTTAGAAAGTGAAGCTATGTTCACCAAAAGCCTACTAATAAAGGATACACAGACTGCCAATCAAATAATCTGATGTGCTGATACAAAAGTCGGATAAACATTTGACATGTCCAGATATTGTAAGTTTAAAAATATTAAAAATCCCAGTCAAGGTCAACTATCGTCATATTTAAGAGCCTTGATTAAAGGACCAAAGATTATACTTTGCAGGGGTGCCTGGGTGGCTCAGTCAGTTAAGCATCCGACTCTTTATTTCGGCTCAGGTCATGATCTCAGGGTTGTGATATCGAGCCCCATGTGGGCTCTGCACTGGATGCAGAGCCCGCTTGAGACTCTCTCTCCCTCTGCTCCTCCCCCGACCCCCCCACTCACACGCACGCGCTCACTCTAAATAAATAAAATCTTAAAAAAAAAATTATATTTTGCAAAGTTGCAAATACCAGGAAAATGAGTTGCTGCTTTCCTACCTTACAGCTTCTCTGAGTCCTGCTCTTAATCATAAACCTTCCTCTGAAGTCTGATGAGCCTTACTCCAAGGGGATGCCCAGAAACCATCAGTCATCTGCCTCCTACCTCCCAGCTCTGGTATTGAGCCGTTTTCTCATACGTCAGCTCCTGACACTCCCTGTGCACCCTACCCTCACTCCTCTGTGCCCTCACAACAGACACAAGGGGGAGCAAACTAGGAACCTGCATGAAACCCCAGGCCGTTATGAAGATATATTTGTCAAGGTAGGAGGACAGAACATACTTAATATTTAATAGTTTTTGAGCTTAACTTATATCTTGTAAATATGTAAATATATGGAATCAAGGCCTTCATTTCTATTTGTCTTGGAACTCAAAAATGTTAAGGACAGGCTGGGGCAATGAGGAGGGAGAGAGAGACAAAAGATCCAGGTGATGCCATCTGACAAATCCTTCATAAAAATAAGCCCTTGATGAACAATTCAGAACAGAACCACCACCTACCAGGAGGGGGGCTGATGTGTAAACCATTCTTCAGACTCCACTGCACGGGGAAAATACCAGGACTGTCAGCATGGCACACAAAAGATCGCCGTGCATGATTCTCTGGTCGCAAATCATCCATTTCCACCAGGAAGTACTTCTCATCAAAAACCTGCGCATACAATCAAACAAACATCACAGACAAATGGTTTTATGTGCATGTATGAAAGGACACATATGTGTGTGTCATTTCCTTGGCGTGGACAAACATGTTACAAAACTGCATAGCCATAGTGGGTATGAATAATAACACTAAGCACTCAATAAATGTTACCTATGTGTCAGGCACTGTTTTAATTACATGCTTTTCATGCATTAACTCAGTTTTAACCTTCCTTACAACATAATAAGGTAGGTACCATGATCAACCCCATTTTGCAGATAAGGAAACTGGATTTAAGAAGAGGTTAAACAACTTGCCCCATTTTACCCAGCAAGAAAGAAGCAGAACCTGGGTCCAAATCTAAGTATTTAGGCTCCAAACAAAATTTAGTTCAGACTGAGTGAGGAGTCTACCACAACTTGTACATTAGATTTCTGGATCCTAGCCTAGTTTCAAATGCTAAAAAGGTTTTATTAACCTGCCCTGGCTCCCTGACACCCCACGGCCCTTCAGACTCCAGAAAGGGCCTCTGACCCCACTGCAGGGTCAGAATCCCTCCCTGTTCTTAGAATCATCTTCTCCTAAGGCCAAAAAAAAAAAAAATTAAATCTCAAGAGATCAGACTAACTTGGCATCCAAGCGACCACTCCTCTAATCACACTTCTCTTCTGGCTCTACTCTGGGTAAGCGGGCTCTACTCTAGTCCTGAACTAACCCCTTGTCTTGTGCCTCAGGGCCAGTAACAGAGTTACCAGGGCCGGACAACCTGCCCAGCTCCTGTGCTTACGCTCAATAGAAGCCTTACTTTTGGCAGCCTTCCGAAAGACTGGAGTCTGAATCTGGACTCTGGACTCCATTCTGGAGCAACCCTGGACAGATCTCATGACACGGATCACCTGCCCCACCCCCACGTCCCCCACTGAGCCTTGCACCTGGGGGGACTCTGACACTGTCACCCGCGCCCAGACTTCTCAGACACCACGGCCTGCCTGCCGGGTAAGTCCCCTCTAGTTACGCACCTCAAGGCCTGCCCCAAAGACCATGCCCCACTACTCTGGCGCCTAAGCTTTGGTTGGCTGGGCCACAGAGAACTGGCCAGTACAAATGCAAAATGTGCACAGAAGTCATTCTGGCCTCACAGTTTAGGAGAAACATGGCTCAGATTAGCAGAGCCTGACGATCAAAACTCTAACTACTTTCCTAAACCAGTCACCCTGACAGGTATTCGTACCAAAAGAGCTGCCCCCATTTTACCTTAACAACTGTAGCAGGAGAGATCCCAAAAGGAGACCAGGGGTCCACAGCTTCCAACTTCATATTTACAGAGAATGAGTGAGTGCTAATCACTTGTTTGTCCTGAAATGTAAACACCAACAGGGAATAAAAATACAGTATTTTCACATTCATTTTATACTCATATATAGCTGAATACTACTCTTAATTAATTAAAATAAAACTGTCCAGTTCCTGGTAAATAATTTAATCCTATTTTCTTTTCTGGAAAAAATTATTCAGAAACAAAAACACAGGAAGTACTCCCACTCTCCGTATTTGGTACACAAAGGCCATCTGGAGGAGAACAAGTTTATTTTATAATGCATTGGGGCTATGCAGTTAAGGGTGGACAAGAAAGGGCGCCTGGGTGGCTCAGTTGGTTAAGCGACTGCCTTCGGCTCAGGTCATGATCCTGGAGTCCCGGGATCGAGTCCCGCATCGGGCTCCATGCTCGGCGGGGAGTCTGCTTCTCCCTCACCCTCTCCCCTCTCATGCTGTTTCTCTCTCTCTCTCTCTCTCAAATAAATAAATAAATAAATAAATAAATAGATAGATAAATAAATAAAATCTTAAAAAAAAAAAAGAGTGGACAAGAAAAGACTCAAATACTTTTGGAGAATGTTAGGAGAAAACCTAGACTACTTTTGGAAGAGAAACAGGATGCGCATCGCTCCAGCCTTCAAAGCTCTTGAAGCTTTCTGCTTCAGACGCCCCGGTATCCTTACTGACCTGCCGGCTGGCTGGCTGTGCGCTCGGTGCCACCCCCGACTGCCCGACCTGCCAGGAGAAGGTGAGCACCCACCATCCCGTTTTGGTTTTACCTTAAATAAGTATGACGGCAATGGCTCTTCCTCCTCCTCTTTCACTTTGGCCAGGATCTCTTGCCACTCAGCTTCACTTTTCAGATGCCGGATGGCTTTTGTAAAACAAGACAGGACATTTTAAATGAGGAGAACGTACACACTTTACATCTGTTCTGAAAGCATTCATGTAAACAGAAAGTCACTTTCCATGGGGAAAGAAAGGACTCCAGCGCACTTATGCCCTCTCCATTCAGAGCCTGCACCGTAACTTCAGTACTTTGTCCCCTCTGTTCAGAGCCTGCGTAGTAGGCCTGGTGAAAATACCCACAGCAAGATCATCAGGACTGCTGCAGGCCATAAAATAATATAACACCCAAACTGAAGCACACAATAAGAAGTGCAAATTGCTTTAAAACACTAACTCCAGTTTTGAGATTGTTGTTATTTCTTCTAATCAACAATTCACTTTGAACCAAGACCTATCCTAAGACCTATCTTACTCCTATATCTATCTAAATGCTACTCAGAAAATTTTTCTTCAATTTTGGTAAGAGGTCAATATGAGTTGGAGCAGGAGTCCATAAGGTACAAGAGGTATGGCAAATTACTAAATTAATAAACCAAAAGAAAAATAGGCACTTAATCAAATATAAGTTTTTTTGCAACATCTCTATTACACTTTGGTAATATGCAGAATAATACTTTTTTTGTCTCAACATTAATAAAAACGTAACAATAATGTAACAGTTAAGAGAAAAATGTTATATTACTCTTCACCTAATGGGGGCTGAAGCTCATATCCTTGTTGAGCAGCCCAACCAACGTGATGAAGAAACGGATCCAAGTAATACAACCAATGCTCAAAATTGTCAGAACTTTCAAGTCCTTCATAACGCAGCTTCAGCCTTCCCCCAATGTTTTCTACTACAGTAACAATCCAAGTGCTTAATGAGTCCCGGAAAGCTTGACATTCTAGCCTGGAGCCTGGAGCAATGAGATCTAAAGGATTCCTCCCGTTGCGGAGCTGCAGGTACAAGAGGTGAAAACGATTATGAGAAGTTCACACAGTATTTTAAAAAGTCAAGCTGTAAAGGATCTCCAATAAGCCTTTATATTTCTACCCACTCAAAGCCATGACACTACAAGGCCTAATTTCATACAAGTCCCTATAGTATTATTTCTAGATGACATGAAAATGTTTATCTTAAAGAAAATTCTACTTATAATGCAACGAAACTATTCTAACAGACCTCTGTCTCTGGGACTATGTTGTATAGTTTCATCTAGTAAAAAATTTTAAATTATCATTATTAGTCTGATTGTAAAAGCAAATATGATCACCATTAAACAAAAAATCAAACATGACAAAAGTCAAAATCCCCTACAATCCCACCTCCAAGAAAGAACCATGATAAACACTTTGGCGCCCACTCTGAGATTAGGTTTTCTAGACCCAAGTCAACATCTACCTGTGTCTGTCTCTCTCATGTTTTTTTTGGAAAATGGGGCACTGTATACTCTTTTTCAATTCATGTTTGCCACTTTATACATCACAGCTATCTATTCTAGCACATTTAATCTTTATTCTTTTATACTGTTTTGCTGATACTCTGTATTATAAATGGGCAGTAATTTATCCACTTAAATGCTGATGGCACTTCAGTAGTTTCTGATTTTTTACTCATTTCACAACAATGTTCCTATGAACACAGTGTTTTGATTATGCTGATGGAACGGAAAAGTTTAATTATCACTCTCTAGATACATATTAAAAGCTACAGTAGGGGTGTTTGGGTGGCTCAGTTGGTTAAGTGTTGTCTGCCTTCAGCTCAGGTCATGATCCCAAGGTCCTGGAATCGAGCCCCGCATCGGGCTCCTTGCTCGGCGGGGAGCCTGTTTCTCCTTCTCCCTCTGTCCGTCCCCCCCGGAGCTCGCTTGCTCTCTCAAATAAAATCTTTAAAAAAAAAAAAAAAGCTACAATAAATAATAAAAGGGAACAATGATTCCAATATCATCACTTAACCGTTTCTTTATATTCAGACTTACATTTTTTTTCCCTAATAAGAAGAGCTCTGCGACACTTACATATTCATATATATACAAAAGAACATATGTACAAATGGAGGAACACGTTCACAGCTAAAAATCAGGATGGCAGAATCAAGGTCAATGTAGAGCTGGATATTTATTAAATCATTTGTTCGTGATTTCATTCATTCATTAAAATTTTACTGACTGTTTGTTTAGCGTGTACCAGGCCCTGGCTAAGCATAATGCAATGAGTCAGAGGATAAAATATAAAGGTTAGCTGGAAATAGAGTATTTACCAATCGAGTTTTAAAGGGGAATGTGAATGGATCACAGAATGAGATGTAAGAGTCAAAACTATAAAACACATAGAAAATATAGCAGTAAATCTTTGTAACCTTGCGTTAAACAAAGCCTAATTAGATATGATACCAAAAGTACAAGCAACAACAACAAAATAGATAAACTGGACTATATCAACATAAACTTTTGTGCTGCAAACAATATCATTAAGAAAATGAAAAGACAGTCCACAAAATATTTGGAAATCATGTATCTGACTGGACTTGTTATCAGCTATGAGGAACTCTTACAATTCTATAATAAAAAGACAATCCATTTTTTAAAATGGGCAAAGACATTTCCCCAAAGAAGATATACAAATGGTGGGTGCCTGGGTGGTTCAGTTGGTTAAGTGACTGCCTTCAGCTCAGGTCATGATCCCGGGGTTCTAGAATCAAGTCCCGCACTGGGCTCCCCTTGCTCTGCGTGGAGCCTGCTTCTCTCTCTCCCTCTGCCTGCCACTCCCCTTACTTGTGCTCTCTGTTAAATAAATACATAAAATCTTAAAAAAAAAACCCAAAAAGATATACAAATGGCAAACAGTACAGAAAAAGATACTCAACATCATTTGTCATTAGGAAAATGCAAATCAAAATGAGAAACTGCTTCATATTCACTAGCATAGCTATAACCAAAAGACACTAACAAGTGTAAGCAAAAATACGGAGAAATTGGAATGTTCATACGTTGCATTTCACATATGCCACAAAGAATGTAACTGGTATGACAGAAAGTAACAAAATATAACTTAGAAATGTCATAACCAACAAATTGATTTCACAAAAACAAGAAATCTATATTATATTCACTAACAAGCTCAAAAGGTACACTAATTTAAAAGGACTGTTGAAGGCAGGTAGGTAGTAAGAATACAACAGGTCTGCTGTCTTCTGAGCAAAAGAAAAGGGGGTCTCACGTCACCCAGGGTGGGAGTTATAAATTCCTGAATTAAAATCAACACCTGCTCGGTGACAGAGAGCCCCAAAAGGCCACATTTTCCAACTTCATTGAAGAATCTGGAAAACTAGATTTTTACGTGTTAGCAACAAATTCAGAACATTTTAGGCACTAAGTAAGGTACCAGTTGGCAACCTCTGAGGATAAGTTTAAACCCACCAATACCCATTGTCATGTCTGTAGTAAAAATGCTTATTTGCTTTAGAGTGATAAATGAGCAACCAATTTTAAGATTCCTTGGACAGAAAATATCACTGAAGATGAGACGGGTTTTCCACACTGATTCTGCAAGCAATAATACTCACGCCTTCTAGCAGCGGAACAGGAGGGCTACATGCTCCCATCAGGGTCTGCCGCAGAAACTCATCCCAATCAGACACTTTATCTCTGATGCCTAGATGAGGGAATAAATGAGTAAACAAATGACTACTCATAATGTCAGCTACAGAACACAGGGAAACTAAACTCAACCTAATACAGAGAAGTTAAACCAGTGAAAGTGATTTAGAGATGCATTTGTACTTTTATTATCTGAGTCCAACAAATTACTTCTTTCAGAGCTTAAAAAAATCCCCCTCTAGATAGATCTACTTCCTGATTAGTTTAATAAGAGGTGTACACAAAACAAAGAGAATACAGTAACAGGGAGTTGGGCCCAATTTTTTTTTTTAAGATTTTATTTATTTATCTGACAGAGAGACAGCGAGAGAGCACAAGCAGGGGAGGGACAGAGGGAGAGGGAGAAGCAGACTCCCCACTGAGCAGGGAATCCAATGCAGGGTTCGATCCAGGACCCTGGGATCATGACCTGAGCTGAAGGCAGACGCTTAACCAACTGAGCCACCCAGGCACCCCAGGTGGGCCCAATTTTATCCAAAAGTTAGCTACTTTTTTTTTTTTAATGATGGGAATCCTCAAATATATATAAAAGTAGAGAAAAGAGTATAATGACCCCATGTACCCCAGCTTCAACAACTGTCACTTCATGGTCTTTCCCGGAGTTGTTGGCAAACTACAACCTGGGGGCTAACTTCAGCCTACTGTCTATTTTTATAATTAGAGTTTTATTGGAATGCAGTCATGCCCATTTGTTTACACATTGTCTAGGGCTGCTTTGCACTACAAAGGTAACATGAGGTAGCTGTAACAGGGATCACATGGCCTGGAAAGCCTAAAATATTTACTGTCTGGTCCTTTACAGATATTTTGCCAATCCCTGATGATCTACACCCTCACACAGTCCACCTCACCCAACCACAGATTATTTAAAAGCCAATTCCTAGTATCATATAATTGTACCATATAAGTTCATCCAGTTTAATCTCAGTATGTATTTCTAAAGATTTTTATTAATATATTTGAGAGAGAGACAGAGAAAGAGTGTGCGAGAGGGGAAGGAACAGAGGGAGAGGGAGAGAGAGAATCTCAAGCAGACTCCCCGCTGAGTGCAGAGCCTGACATGGGGCTCAATCCCACAACCCATGAGACCATGCATGACCTGAGCTGAAATCACAAGTTGGACACTTAACCGAGTGAGTCACCCAGGCACCCTAGTGTGTATTTCTAAAAGTAAATAACTTTTTATATAAGCACAATATCACACCCTTAAAAATTAACAATAATTCTTCAATAAAAAATATCTAGTCCATTTTTAAATTTCCGCATATGTCTCATAAATGGTTTTTCCAATTTGCTTGGTCAAATCAGGATCCCAATGAGATACATATACTGCAAATGGCTGATATATTGCTCAAGTCTCTTTTAATCCATCTGTTCTTTCTCCCCCTCCATCTCCCCACTCTCTCTTTCTAGCAGCATATTTGCTGTTGAGAGAGAGCCTTTTGTCTGTTTAGAGTTCTTCTGCGTCTGCTTTTACTGGCTGCCTCCCTGTGGGTGGTAACCAGCTGCTCCACTGACCTCTGTATTTTCTATAAATCAATATTTAGGGCTACAGGCTTGATCGAATTCAGATCTGACTCTTTTTGGAGGGGGCTGTCGAGAACAGTTCATAAGTGGAGTTGTAACCTTCTATCACATCCATCAAGAAGCACATTCAGTCTGGTTGTCTCTTCTTTTGTGGTGTTAGCAGCTTTTAATGGTCACTACATAGATACACTGATTCATTAGGGACTAAAAATGGTGATTTTTCCATCATCCCTTTTTTTGTTTACTAACCAAAATATTCTATAAAGAAAAATTTCACTTCTTCAACTACTTCATTACCCTGAGGTGTAGTTCAAAGAAAAAAGTCAGGATATTTGTTTGATTCTCTTTATCTTTCCCTGTATCTACAAGAAATCTATATTATATTCACTAACAAGCTCAAAAGGTACACTAATTTAAAAGGACTGTTGAAGGCAGGTAGGTAGTAAGACTACAACAGGTCTGCTGTCTTCTGAGCAAAAGAAAAGGGGGTCTCACGTCACCCAGGGTGGGAGTTACAAATTCCTGAATTAAAATCAACACCTGCTCGGTGACAGAGAGCCCCAAAAGGCCACATTTTGGGGCTTCGCTAGCATCCTCCAAAGGCAATCAGTGAGAGTTCTGTTTAGAAGTCTCACTAGGAAATTATAGACTACATCACATATAACATGTTCCAGGCCATCGCAGCTATTGTCCTACTAATGCTCACTCTGTCCTGTCTTTAACCAGAGGGAATCTTTTTTGACACATGACCCTAGTAAACAGTCACTGACATCTTTCTTACTTTTGGTATGAACGGTGTCCCAGGCTCAGCTTGTACCTTTCCTGCCCCAGCCCAGGAATCGGCTCCTTCTCCAAGGAGCTCTAACTTATTCAGGTGAAATGGTATTTAGAGGTCATAATTAGGGTGCTGAGGGTGCTCATTTTTTAATATTCTTTATACTGTTTGTGTTTCTAGGCTTTTTCAATATCTAGGACTAAGAAATACCTTCCCCTTTTTTAAAGACATAAATCACATCAGGAGTTCATATTGATACTTCCAATACAAATTCATGAAGACACTGTTTCTATTAACTTCATTTATCCAACTTCTGTTTCCTTTCTTTCCTGCTAAAAATCCTAGCTCTCACACATTTCATTATGACTTAATCCCACAATACCCAAATACTACTTCAAAATAACATCAACTTTGCCACTAACAATGATTACTGAAAACAGCTTACTTCTGTTGCTGTTGCTATGTTTTATCCCTATTAGGGATGTACACTTATATTACTGTATCTGAAAGCCAACAGTTTGGTTTCAACTATTTCAAAGAAATAGTTCTCTGAGTGGTCACTTCACAATCTCCATACACAGTTACATTTCTATGCTTTTTTGTTTTTTAGAAATTTTTTTAAAATTTAATTTTGTTTTATAGTTGTATAAAATACATAGTTCAAAATTCAAATCTACAAAATAGGTACATTCAGAAAATCTAGCTTCTATCCCTGTCCCTCACTTCATTCTATTTCTTTCCTTCCCCACAGGTAACTTTTTTTTTTCCTTAAAGATTTTATTTATTTGAGAGAGAGAGATGGAATGAGAGAGCATGTGAGCGTGAGTGGGGGAAGGGGCAGAGGGAGAGGGAGAAGCAGGCTTCCCGCTGAGCAGGGAGTCCAAGGCAGGGACTCAATCCCAGGACCCTGCAATCATGACCCGAGCTGAAGGCAGACGCTTAACCCACTGAGTCACCCAGGCACCTCCCCACACAGGTAACTTTTTAAATAGACTTATTCTTTTATTTTTTAAAAATGAACACATATACACATTCATATACTCCCCCCTCCTTCATTCTTTATACATTTTTTCTATTTTCATAAAACAAGATATCCAGGAGAACACTCCCTGACTGTATGTAGATGGTCCCCATTTCTTTTTACCATGCATTGCAGCTTTAATCATTATCAAGTACCCTTTTATCTCATAATGCTTTCTGATCTGAATTCTACCTTTATGAAATGCCAAGACTGACACTCCTACTTTCTTTTCTATTTGATTTGATTTTTATATATCTTTGTCCATCCTTGTATTTTAACCCTTTCAGAATCTCTCCATTAGGTAGGTCTCCTGTACATATGGCGCAGGAGTGGGTTTTGCTTTCTGAGTCAACCTGAACCATTTTTTTAATTTTAATAGAAGACTAAGCCCATTAACATTTATTGATATTATCAATAGGTATGCCCTCAATTTTGTCATATTGCCAAATATCATATAAGTTTTTGATATGTGTGTGTGTGTATGCACAGTCTCTCACTATGTGATCTATTTTATTTGAACATACACTTTTTAAAATCTATCTTTTGGCGTTTAGAAAGGTTTGTATTTTTGTTTTTCTGGTTACCTTAGCATATACAAATAACTTTATATAACACTTTAGTTCTATTTTTGGACTATTTTCCATTTCTTTGTTCTATAAACAATACTAACATTAGCCAAAACCTCTTTTTTCTCCTCTTCTTCACCATCTCATTTCAGGTAATTGTCTTTTACTCTCAATTAACATTTAAAAGGTAATTAGTCAAAAAAAAAATAAAAGGTAATTAATTACTCTGCAGTAAAGCTGCTTTTTTTTGAAAAGGCAGTGAGTGAGCTTTACCACTATGCACATGCCCTCCCCCTCTGCTGCCTCACATTTTTACAGTTACACTGTATCTACACTGTCAGATTATGTAGCCATTACACACTACACTGTCTCCTTTGTAAACTTCATTTAGTTTGAAGTTCTACAGCTACACATATATTTAATGTCTCATTAACAGCTCTTATGTTAATGTCTCTTTATTCACTTGGTTTTCTAAAGCTCAGTCCCCAGTGGATATCTTGGGAAGGGCTCACAGGAACATTGTTCCTGAATCGTCACATCTTTGTAACAGACTGCTTAGGGCCTTTATACCTGAAGTTCAGTGTGGCCAGATGTAAAACCCTTGTCTCATAGATTCTTTTACTGAATTTCTTAACTATTCATTACTGTCAATTAGTCTGATGACAATCTTGTTTCCTTCTTTTTCAAGAAATTTAGACCTTTTGCCTGAATAACAAAGGGATTTTATTTTAAAGTTCAAGTGTCAGGGGCACCTGGGTGGCTCAGTCCATTAAGCATCTGATTCTTTTTTTTTTTTTTTTTTTTTTTATTTATTTGAGAGAGAGAATGAGAGAGAACAGGGTCAGAGGGAGAAGCAGACTCCCTGCCGAGCAGGGAGCCCGATGCGGGACTCGATCCTGGGACTCCAGGATCATGACACCTGAGCCGAAGGCAGTCGCTTAACCAACTGAGCCACCCAGGCGCCCTAAGCATCTGATTCTTGATTTCAACTCAGGTCATGATCCCAGGGTCCTGCGATTGAGCCCCACATCAGGCTCCCTGCTCAGCGGGGAGTCTGCTTCTCCCTCTGCCCCTCCCTCCTGCTAGTGGTGTCTCTCTCTCAAATAGATAGGTGGATAGATAGATAAGTAAACAAATAAAATCTTTTAAAAAAAAAGTTCACCTTGATATAGCTGTTCTCACTTGATTTTCCCATGTGCAAAGTGAGCCCTTTCTATATGTATTTCAGTCCTACTTTATTTCAGTCAAGTTTTCTTGAATGAAAGTTTATTGTATTTTATTGTTTCACTGTTGTGGTTTCCTTCAGTGACTTTACCCCAAGTCTTTTTTCTTTCCTCATTTCTTTTTTTTTTTCCCTTCCTTTTCATCCTCTATCTTCAGATATTATCCATGGTAGATTTGTTCCTGTATTCACTTTAACTTAGTCTTCATTTCTAATATGCTTTTATTTCTAGTTCTTGCCTAACTCCTACTTTTTCTCTTTTCAAATTCCCTTTTCTCCATCTCATTTCTGATTTTTATAAATTTTATTTATACTTTTTCTCACTGCTTCTAACGTTGTTACTACTTTCTCTTAGTTGGTTTTGAAATGTTTTTGACACAATGTTCAACTCTTTTGTGGTTGTTTCTCTGGAATGATTTTATTCCACCCTTCTCTCCTCTCTCTCCCTCTCGTTCTTTCGTTATAACCTTGTATCCAACTAAAATCATTTCAATTCGATGCATTTTCCTAGACTCTTACAATGAGATGGTCGGCCAGTAGCTTCATGTCTCTAGAGCTTCCTCTTACAATGTTTTTTCACAAAATGCTTCAGATATGGCAGCTAGGGGCTACTGGGTGGCTCAGTCAGTTAAGGGTCTGACTCTTGGTTTCAGCTCAGGTCCTGATTTCAAGGTCCTGGGATCAAGCCCCGCATCAGGCTCCACGCTCAACTTGGGATTCTCTTTCCCTCTGCTCTGCTACCCAACCCCCCGTTCTCTCTCAAAATAAATAAATAAACCTAAAAAAAAAAAAAAAAAAAAAAAGGCCGCTACAAACCCACAGACCCCCAAGGACCCTAACACCCAAATCTTCATTTCAAAATGCCATTCTTCACCAAAAGAAACCAGGACTTCTTGGAGAAATGGCCGATTTCAGGGACAAGCTTCTTTTTTTTAAGATTTATTTATTTATTTATTTGACAGAGAGAGAGGCAGTGAGAGAGGGAACACAAGCAGGGGGAGCTGGAGAGGGAGAAGCAGGCTCCCCGCTGAGCAGGGAGACTGACGTGGGGCTCAATCCCAGGAAGCTGGGACCATGACCCAAGCTGAAGGCTGATGCTTAACTGACTGAGCCACCCAGGCACCCAGAGACGAGCTTCTTGAGCTAAAACATAAGAAACCACTCAAAGAATGATGGGAACGAACAGAGGACACATTAGCCAGCTTAAAGGGGTGCCCACTTGCCAAACCCAGGACATCGTGCGCATCCAAATAAATAACACAGTAAAGGATTATAACCCATTGAGTAAAATAAGAATCATGAAGTCTACCCTTACATACATAGATAAACGTATGTATGTAAATGGGGGGAAAGGAAAGTTCTTTCTCTTGTAGAAAGCTTATCATGATATGTAGACAGAATTAGAAAATACTGTTTGGTAAACATGAGGGTAATAATTGTTTAAGATAAAAATGATCAATCAGTGCTAAAAATAGTGGGTAAAAGTTTGAGGAGTGATGAGATATTTACATTATCTCAAAGTATCTTCTTACAAGATACTTATTAATTTAGAGGTATGAAAGTAATTTTATGGTGGAAAAACCTGGCATACAGCAAATTAATCAAGTGATAAAAGTTATTATCACCAGTTACAGGGCAAACCAACAGCATGTGTGTCCTAATAATGACTGATGCTCTAAAAGGACAGAGAGTCACTCCTGCATTTTTCCTATCAAAAGTGCACAATCTGAGTCTAAGGAAACATCAGACAAACCCACACTATGGGACATTCTAAAAGAATAATTGGCTTGTACTCTTCAAAAACATCAACACCAAGAAATAAAAAGAAAGTTTAAGGAAACTGAAAAGACACGACAATCAAATGCAATGTATGATCCTGGACTGAATCCTGGACCAGGAAAAGAAACAAGGCATAATCAACATTATCAAGAAAATTGGCCTGTACTTTCAAAGATGTCAAAGTCATGAAAGACAAAGACTGAGTAACTGTTCCAAATTAAAGGCATCTTATGAGACATGACAACTGAATGCAACACATGATCTGGGATTTCCTTTTACTATTAAAAACATTATGGGTAAAAACTAAATAAGATCTACAGATTAAATAATAGTGTTATATCAAAGTTAATTTCCTTATTTTGTTACAAAGTTAATTTCCTTATTTTGTTATTTTTACTGTGCTAATGAATGTCCTTATAAGTACATTAAGGTATGAGTAAAAGGGTATCATGCCTACAACTGACTCTCAAATGGTTCATTGAAAAATCATGCATGCATGTGTGTATGAGAGGTAGAGGGGAAGGAGGGAGAGGGATGGATAACATATATTTGGTAAAACATCAACATTTAGGGAAACTTGGCAAAAAGTCTCTAAGAATTTTCTACACTATTTTTGCAACTTTCCTGTAAATCTGAAATTATATCAAAATAGGTTGAAAGAAAAATATATAAGCTCTGATATTTTCTTAAACCTGAAGCCTTCTTTCCCCTTTCTCCATCTTTACATGACCTTCCTCCTCCTCCTTCTGTCCTACTTAATTTGGATTCTACTCCCCGTAAGGCTTTCCTGGAAGGGAACTTCAGTTGACTCATTTTAAGAATTCATAGGTCCCAGATCACCTAGGGGTGAGAAGAGGGAGGACAATAAAATTAGAAGGGAACCACCAGCACAGCAATCTGGCCCAATGCACTTCAAGACAAACAGACCTACAAGTCCCAAACTCAGAGAGCCTCACAGTTTTACAGGATGATAAGCAACTGATGCTCCCTAGGAGTATCATAAAGACGCAAGGCTTTATGAAGCCTCAAAAATAACTTTTAAAGACAGGGAAATGTGCATTATTCCTTATCAATATTTTCATTCAAAATGCTAACCCCAGAAAGTGAGAAAAACCTGTGAGTGGGGGAGAACGAAGACCTCAAGGTTGTGCACACAGCAGTGCCACGGCACGTCTCCACAGCAAGTACCGCATTACCTTCCGGGGCTTCAAGGGTCTTCTTATTCTGCTCACACCACCCGATCGGGTAGAGGCCGGCCTTCCTGATGTCACACCAGAAGTCGGCCCTCCGGTCCTGGCCGTACCCTTCGTAGCGAAGCAGCAGCAACTGCTCACATGTGGTGATGATGGTGGCAACCCAGTAGGATTCAGGGTCTGTTTTCACAGCCACCTCCAGCTTCATCCCAGGAGCAAATCCATTTTGCAAACGTGTATCCACCTGAACAGGGAAATGTTACTAACCACCACGTAAGTATCTCAACTGAGTATTTCTTTAGCCAAAATTCTTTTTTAAGACTTACAATTCTGAAGCACTAAATGAAATAAAACCTTCCCAAGGGAAACCTGAGAAACTCCAATTCTAACTCATAGCAGTGATCCAAACAAACAGGGAACAGCATGCTGCTCTGTTCCAGCCGACTCCGAAGGAATTTTAATACAACTCAGTATTTTCACCAAAGCAGCCTACTGTGATTACAGAAAATGTTTTCTATGAAGTGCATAAATCGCTAAATGTTCACCATTTTAATAACCTTCAACATATTATGTTTTCAAGAGTGATTTCTCCATCCTTCAAAAAATTTATGAAGTCAGAAAAGGGGAAGGACAAAAGAAGTATAATATATAATATATATGTAATATATAATATTATATATTATATAATATATAAAAAGAATATATAATATTCTTCTTATAATATAATATTATATTATAACAATAAATTAGTATAATATGTACTATATGTAAGGAGCCACACCTCCCAGTGCCCCTGAAACAGTCTATGTTTACACCTGTTATCCTTGAATAGTAATTAATAATGCCCTGTTTCTCTCTCCAAGTGTCCTAATTCAGATGATAAATTATATGGTCACAAAGGTAAAGGTGAGCAATTCTGGAACTACTTCCTATGTATACAAAGATTAAATGTGTACATATATTGTGGGAAACGAGAGCCACGTTTCTCACTGTGGGATAAAGAAGGAAAAACAAGGAAAGAGCAGACTAGCACGATCCTTGTGGCGACTAACTGGAATCAGCAGTGTCAGAATGAGGTCACAATGACAGACAAAAAAGAGTACAGATGTGTATGTATGTGTGTGCTAATATATCTCCTAGCTCTGTGAATTGACAGGGATGATAAGTAATGATACTCATCAGCAATAAGCAAACTTAGTGTACAAATTCTTCATTTATAAATGCCACCTCCAATAAAAAAAGAACATGGGCTCCATGGAGAAATAAGTGATTCCAATTCTGGAGTAGGGAAAACACACTAAGTGCCCGGAATATCTTGTGATGCCAGAAAGTAAGGAAATGCTCCAAAAATGACGGGGGCATTTGGAAAGGACATGGGAGCCAACCAGAAAGATCCCCCAATGTTCACATTAGGGACAATTTGAGCAATAAAATAAATAATAAGATCAATGGATTATAACCCACAGATTTAAACAATATCCATGAGTCCATACTGTAAAAAAATAATTAACAAAGGGATAGATCCTTAGAGTAAAAGACCAATTAATAAATACAGAGAAAAATGACAGATACAGAAAACCAGGGGCTCCTGGGTGGCTCAGTCAGTTAAGCGTCTGCCTTCAGCTCAGGTCATGATCCCAGAGTCCTGGGATCGAGTCCCACACTGGGCTCCCTGCTCAGTGGGGAGTCTGCTTCTCCCTCTCCCTCTGCTCCTCCCCCCGCTTGTGCTCTCTCTTGCTCACTCTCTCTCTCAAATAAATAAATCTTTAAAAAAAAGAGAGAAACAGAAAACCACCATTAGACAAACCACAGAAATAAACACTGCAGGCAAGAATCATGGATCAGGGCTAAAATGACTGATATTTACATAATCTCAAAGGTTCTCCTATAAGATTTTTACTAATTCCAAAGGGGAAAACAGTAAAATCATAATGAAGAACTATGACAGACACCACCCTAACTAGCTGATAAAAGTTAACATCACCAGTTTTAAAACATCAGTACCGTATATCCTTGATACCACAGAGTAAGAAAAGCACAGTATCATTTTTATGAAATTCTTCCCAAATCTGCATAAACTCAAGCTAATCATGAGAAAAGCCCAAACCCAAATTGAGAAATATTCTACAAGATAACTGATATGTAATGTGCTCTTCAAAATGTCCAGGCCATAAAAGACAAAGAACGAGGAACTACCAAACACGGGGAGACTATGGCAGCCTGACAAGTAAAGGCAATGTAGCAATCACAACCACTGAGAAGTGAGGAGAGTCCTGGAAAGACAGTCAGGGAGGGAAAGTCCTACATGCTGTACAAAAATCCTTCCCCCTTCTCATCACTGCCCTGCCAAAGTCCTGTGAAAGGTAATCACTACCCTGAATTATAACACTGTAAATACTGTCTGTGTGTTAATACTATATTCGTAGAATTATGCAGTATGCATGTTCTTCTGTGTGGGCTTTTCTCCAGCCCAACAGTGCTTATGGATTCATTCATGTCGCATTTAACAGTTTATTTCTTCTCACTGCTGTATAGTATTCCATTATACAAGTTATCCATTCTAATGCTACAAATAGTAGGCACTGTGAGAAGTTTGCAGCTTTGAAAGACAATAAATAATACTATCATGACAGTACAAATATTTGTGTGTCTCTGGTGCATACACACATGGATTGCTCTAACAGATACAGCCAAACCACTTCCAAAGTGATTGCACCAGTTTACTCTTCCAGTAGTGTATGAAAAATCCTTTTTTAAAATATTTTACTTATTTATTTAAAGTCCTTTTGCTCCAACATTCTAAGCAACATTTGTGCATGTTCAGTCTTTTTCATTTTAACCATTTTGGAAGGTGTGCTATGTATCTCATTGTGACTTTACTTTGCATTTTTTCATTATTAATGAAGATGAAAACCTTTATTAGTCATTTAGGTTTCTTCTTTTGGGAAATGGCTAAGTTCCTTGCCTTTTTTTTTTTTGTCAAGTCTGTATTTTGGATATCAGTTCTTTGTCAGTTACTTGTGTTACAAATATCTTCTCACTTTCTTTTTTTTTTTTTTTTAAGATTTTATTTATTTATTTGAGAGAGAGAATGAGAGAGAGCAAGCACATGAGAGGGGGGAGGGTCAGAGGGAGAAGCAGACTCCCTGCCAAGCAGGGAGCCCGATGCGGGACTCTATCCAGGGACTCCAGGATCATGACCTGAGCCGAAGGCAGTCGCTTAACCAACTGAGCCACCCAGGCGCCCTCTTCTCACTTTCTTGATGGTGCTGTTTGATGAACAGAAGTTCTTAATTTTAACGTACTCTGATTCATCAATGTTTCTCCTTTAAAAGGTCAGTGCTTTTTCTGTATTTTTAAACAAATTTTCCCTATCCTTATAAGTCATAAAGATAAAATACTATATTATTTTCTAGAAGCCTTTCTTATTTAGCACTAATATCCACTTTGAATTAATCTCCATGTATGATAGTAGATAAGAGTTAGGTTTTATTTGTTTGAAGATACATATACACAATTGACCTTTCCTCACCACTGGAAATTGCCACCTTTGTTATAAGTGTCCCTACAAAAGTGGATCTGTTTCTGATTCGTTTTTCCTTAGAGCAGTACTACACTGCCTTAATTTCCATATCTAGTGCAGGGAGTCTTCTCGTTTTGTCTTATTCTTTAGCTATATCTGGTTATCCTTGCTCCTTTGTATTTCCACATGAACTTTAGAATCAGACTGTAGGGGTGCCTCAGTCGGTTAAGCATCTGCCTTCAGCTCAGGTCGTGATCCCGGGGTCTTGGGATCAAGCCCTGCATTGGACTCCCTGCTCAGCAGGGAGTCTGATTCTCCCTCTCCCTCTGCTCCCTCCCCTCACCCCCACTAGTGCTCACACTCTCATGCTCTCTCTCTCTCAAATAAATAAAATATTACAGAAAAAAAGAATCAGACTGTCAATTTCTCCCTAATTTTTTTTTTGGTATTTGACATGGGTTGCAGTAAATCTACAGATGTACTTGGGGAGAACTGACATCTTTACCATAGCGAATCTACCATTACATAAACAAAGTATATTCCTTCATTTTAACTTATATCAATAATGGTTTGCAGTTACTTTACAGATTTTTGTTACATTTATTCCTGGGCATTTGATGTTTTTATGCTATTGTAAATCACATCTTTCAGTTTCCACTTTGCTGCTAGTATATAGAAATATAATAGATATAAATAAATAAATAAATTATATATATATATATATATATATTTTTTTTTTTTTTAGAGAAGTGGGGGGAAGCAGAGGGAGAGGGAGAAAATCTTAAGCAGGCTCCACACCAGTGTGGAACCCGACATGGGGCTCAATCTCACAATCCTGAGATCATGACCTGAGCTGAAATCAAGAGCTGGACGCTCAACCAACTGAGCCACCCAGGTGCCCCTAGAAATAGATTTTTTATGCTACCTTGTTTCTAATACTCTTGCTAAAGTTAGTCATTAATTTTAAAACTTTTTTTTTTTTTTAAGATTTTATTTATTTGCGAGAGAGAGAATGAGAGAGAGAACATGAGAGGGGGGAGGGTCAGTCAGAGGGAGAAGCAGACTCCCTGCAGAGCAGGGAGCCTGATGCGGGACTCGATCCCGGGACTCCAGGATCATGACCTGAGCCGAAGGCAGTCGCTTAACCAACTGAGCCACCCAGGCGCCCAGTCATTAATTTTATATCTGTAAATTATTTTATTCATCTGTAAATAATAACATTTTTTTTCCTTTCTTCCTAATCCTTATACATTTTAATTGTTTGTCTTATCTTATTGTATTGGCCAGAATCTCTAATACAATATCAAACAGAAGTCATGTTAGACAACATTTTTATCTTGTTCCATAATTAAAAGAAGGTATGCATATTACTATTAATAAAGTTTGCTGTAGATTTTTTTTATAGATATCCCTTAGCAAATTAAATAAATTCCCATCTATAGTTTGCTAAGAGTTTTTGATATTATGAGTGGGTGTGGAATTTTACCAAATATTTTTCTCTATATAGTGAGTTGATAATGTGATTTTTCTCTTTTATTCTGCTACAGTGGTCAATTATGCTCTTCAAATATATTTTCCTGACTTTCTTTTCTCCTGAGATTCCACTTACATAAGCATTAAGCTTTTTTTATACTGCCTGCAGCTGCTGGATGTTCTGGTCTGGTTTTTTGCCACCTCTTTTCTCTGCATTTCAAGTCTGGGCAATTTATGTTGACTTATCTTCAAGTATACGGACTCTTTCCTCATTTGTGTCAAGTCTCCCAATAAGCCTGTCAAAGGCATTTGACATCTCTTATTACCATATTTTTCATTTCTATGATTTCCACTTGACTCTAATAGTGTCCATCTCCACTGAAATTCCCTTTCTGTTCACACATGTTGTTTAGAGACTTTAACCTAGTACTCATAGTTATTTACAACTGTCTGTCTGATAGTTTCAATATCTGGGCCTTATGAGTCTAGTTCTATTGAATGCTTTGTCTCTTGACAGTTTGCTATTTTTTTCTTACTTCTTCATGTGTCCCATAATTTTGGGTTAAAAGCCAGACATCCTGTATAGAATAATCGAGATTGAAACAAGTAACACTTATGCCTGGAAATGGGCATGTTTCTTTTTAGGCCTTAAATTTGAGGGAGAAGGTTAAAGTCAATGTAGTTAGGAGTGGAACTGGGTTTGGGTTTTGTTGTTGTTTAATTATTCACAGTACACCACAGGCTCTAAGATACATTAGCATTTTCTATTTAAGGTAGAGGCTCATTTGCCAGAGGGCTTTTTCCCTCAATATTTGCTGCTCGACCCTCAGATTTAGGTCTTTTCTTTGTGACTGCATCTCAAAGACCACCTCTCTCCACAAGCTTGTCTGCCTCCTACAAACAGACCTTTGTTACCCAACATTTCCTAACTTGGTGGTTGAGGACAAGCAGGAAAGCACATTCTCTGAGATTCAGCCTCAGTCTCAGTCAGGTTCTGTGTCCTGAGTCTTAGGAATAGGAACTTTTCAGGGCGCCTGGGTGGCTCAGTCGTTAAGCGTCTGCCTTCAGCTCAGGTCATGATCTCAGGGTCCTGGGATCGAGCCCTGTGTCAGGCTCCCTGCTCCGCGGGAAGCCTGCTTCTCCCTCTCCCAGTTCCCTTGCAGTGTTCCCTCTCTCGCTGTGTCTCTGTCAAATAAATAAATAAAATCTTTAAAAAAAAAAAAAGGAGTAGGAACTTCTCAGTGATCTTACCCCTCTCCCAACTGTAAGGGACCTCGATTGCTCCAGCTTGTATTCCTATCCCTCTTCCAGGGACAAAAGGCTTTTATTTCTTCTATCTCTAGGCTGCAATGGATTACCCCTGCATCCTGGGGTTAACAGGGTTTGCATCCCTTCCCCTAGCAGCTTAAAGCTTTTGTTCAGGAAGACTCAGATAAAGCTTAGTGCCTTTCCCAAAGCTGGTGCTGTTTCCTCCAACAGACATGTACCATGAGGAAAACTATTTTACTATCTTAGACTCGTCCTCCTTGCAAATGTGGTTTTGCCTCTAATTTCTTCTTCAGCCCCATCTTCCCTCCCTCCTTTATTCCAAACTGGGTCCTATAAAACTCTTGCCAGCAGCTTAAACATCCATCTCCACTGTCCTAGAGATCTGAGTTCTACCAGCTTTGCTATCCACCGGCATCTCTTCCCAGCATCTTCCTATACCATTGCCTGATTTTCACTATATTTGGCAGCCCTTCACGATATACTAATTAAAGCTTACAAATATTTTCTACATTTGATGATGAGAGAGTATACATCTATTTTTCATTCTCCTTGTTGCTTTGCCAAAGAGAAAAGGTGGATCTGTCTCTTTAAAATGTCATTTTTTTAGATCCAGGATTTTGGTCAGAAAATTTGTCCTCCATTTTCATTTTAGTATAAATAAATAAGCTTGTATAAATACATATCAGATTAGTAATAACACTAAAAAAAAGAATTCAAAAATATTACATGATCACAAATAGACTTTCTATGTTAAAAAATATTGAAACCGTTTATAAAAGATTAGTCAATATAAAATGAAATCCTTACTTAAAATATATAAATCTCACCACTTCAATTTAAGAAAAACATAAATGAACTAAAAAACAGAAAGGACAACTATCATGACTGAGTTTTTACAAAACAAACTGAAAATAAGCAGGATTCTTCAGCTTATAAAAACACTTAAGAATACAGTTCAACTTGACAAAATCAAACAATTCTGAGTGAGTGTTTGTGCCTTCTCAAATCCTAGAACAAAGGAACTATGCCCTGTTGAACACTGCTATGGACTGAATTGTGTCTCCCCAAAATCCATATGTTCAAATCCTAACTCCCAACGTGACTGTATTTGAAGACAGCACCTTCACGGAGGTAGTAAAGGGGAAAGGAGGCCATAGAACTGGAGCCCTGATTCAGTAAGATTAGTGTCCATATAAGAAGAGACACCAGAGAGCCTGCTCTCTCACTCTCTGCCATGTGAGGACACAGTGAGGAGGCTGTCAGCAAACCAGGAAAAGAGTCCTCACCAGAACCTAACCATAATGGCACCCTGATCTCAGGCTTCCAGTCTCCAGAACTGTGAGAAAATAAAATTCTGTTGTTTGAGCCACCCAATCTATGGTATTGTGTTATGGCAGCCTGAACAGACTAAGACAAACATGAAATCAACAGAATCAATAACTCTTTATGTTTTAAGATGGAGTGTAAGTGAACAGGTTAAAAAACTAGGTCTGAATATAAATTATTAATAAAATTTGGAGTATTTTCTTACACTCTAAAGACATCACACAGGGCAAATATGTAGTCAATGGATTAAGAATTAAACTGGGCTATTAGGGCATAAAACTACGCTGCACTGGCCACTAATCTGACCCACTATCTGACGTTACTCACGCTTCTGCTCAACATGAGAGAAAGCAATAATGTTACTGAAATTACTCCCAATGTGCAAGCCAATGGTCATAAAACAAAGTGCAAGAAAATAAACCATTTTCTTCAATTATAGAGGGTTTTTTGACAAAAATAAAGGAATATTCATGACTAGTCAAAAAGACAAGTCCTGCACTGAGTGGCAGAAAATACACAAAACCAAAAAGGATTTTAAAATATGTCCAGGAGGGCCTAGCTGGCTCAGTCAGTAGAGCATGCGACTCTTGATCTCAGGATTGTAAATTCAAGCCCCAAGTTGAGTGTAGAGATTACTTATAAATAACATATTAAAAAAAAGTATGTCCAGCTTTCTTAATGAGGGTGGCAGGAGGAGGGAAAAGGAAAAAGCCCTCAAATCTTTTCAAGTGCTCCAACTTAAAATAACTCTAAACTCTCTAATGAGGGTACAATGAGACAAAGGAATGGGACATAGTGAGTAAAACAAATACAGTTACTGCTTACATGTTTAAAAGATCCATAGGGAACTGCAGTGGACCCTGTCTCTTCTAGATAATCTTCCCAGCTTAATTCCACTTCTTCCACACCAGATCCAGCATCTGGAATTAAAATCAAAACAAAAAGAAACAGGTGACCCCAATTAAAGAAAACTCAAGGTATAAAAACATAAAATTAGTAACCCTAACTTACACAATTTACTTCACAACAAGTTAATTGATTTTACACACAAAATAATTATGTGGTTCTTTTTTAATGGCAGGTTCCTTTACTGCATTGATTACTGATGAATCCCAACAGCACGGAAGTGTGACATGCGGTCTCCTGCTGGAATCCATCAGGGATTCACTCAAATGCATTATATGAAGCTGGTGAGAGTGTAACTGTTACAATCACTTTGGACCATCATTTAGTATCTAATGCCAACTATCTGAGATACTTAATAGGCATTTCAAATGTAAATTTTCAACCTGATTCTTCCTTAGTACTCTCCAACTGAGTAAAAGACACCTCCACCAGTCTGTATTTTGGCTCAATCCAAGAATGTTGAATCATCCTTGTTTTCCAACTTTTCTTGCACATCTTACATCAAAACCATCAGAAAATTCTGTAGGTACCACTTTTAAAATATATCCCGAATCTAACCACTTCCCATCATTTCTATTGCTCTCTCTCTAGCCCAAGACCTAACCACTATATCGTTCACCTTTTAATCCCAATTATAATAAAATCTAAACTCTTTGGGAGACTGCAAAGGCCCAACATGGTCTGACCTCTGGCTACCTTCCCTGCCACTTCATCCCCAATCAGCCTCTTTGCTCCCTGCACTGAAGTGATCCTGGGATTCTTACTGTTCTTCTCTAATCATGTTCTTTCTTCCAAGCCTCCTCTGCATTCATTTCCTCAGCTCAAAGACTCATTCCCCAGTGTCATTCCCAGCTTCATTTCATTCAAGCCTCTCCTCAAATGTCCTCTCTCCAGAAAGGCCTTCCATCAGTACTTACCTAAAGCAGAAACCCCAGACTCCGCTTTCATTATCTTAAAGGCATTCATTTCTACTTGACAGTATGCCATACATCTTTTTATCCTCCCCATTAGAAAATAAACTCTATCAAGACAGAATTTTGTTTTGGTCACTCCTATATCTCTGTCACAGCAGACTCAATAAATTTTTGTGGAGTGGGCAAAGATTCAAATATTCCAGAATCAAATAATCCCAATTTACATAAACTCTCGAAGAGCAGGGTTTTGTTTCCTGATGTATCCCCACTGCCCACAACAATGCCTGGCACTAGCAAGTTCACAATAAACAGCTGCTGAATGAGTACACCCTAGGGGAGCCTAGGCTTCACACAAACACAAGGAGGCAAGTACAAGGATGCTCACCACAGCACTGTTTGTAATAGCACCAGACAAAAGCAATCAGCAGGAGAAGAGCTAAATTACAGCAATTCTACAATGGAGTAGTACTATATAGCAGATGAAATGAATGAACTAGTATTGTCATAGATAAATCTCAAAAAAAAAAAACCCACATCGAATAAAAACAGCAGGTGCAGAATGAAAAGCACAAGATACAGTTTAGACTTCAAAGGAAACTTTGCAGTATCAGGTTTATAAATGCATGCATATTAGTAAGAGTATAAAAACAAAGGTGGGGGGCGCCTGGGTGGCTCAGTCGGTTAAGCAACTGCCTCCGGCTCAGGTCATGATCCCAGGGTCCTGGGATCGAGTCCCACATCGGGCTCCCGGCTCAGCGGGGAGCCTGCTTCTCCCTCTGACCCTCTCCCCTCTCATGCTGTTTCTCTCTCGCTCGCTCTCTAATAAATAAATAAATAAAATCTTAAAAAATAAAAAAAAAAAAGGTGGGAAGAACATACATCAACTTCAACAGTGCTACCTTCGGAGATGAGAGGAGAAAATAGGATTAGAAGGGAAGTACAAAAGAGGCTTAAACTCTATTAGGTTTTATTTCTTTCAAAAAAAAAAAAAACACATGAAAACATGTTCAACATCATAAAGGAAATGCAAATCAAAACCACAAGGAGACACACCTCACACCCACTAGAATGACCGTTACCCAAAAAAGCAGAAAACAAGTGTTGACAAGGATGTGAAAAATTGGCATCTTTGTGCACTGCTGGTCTGGTAATGGAAAATGGTGGGGCCACTGTGGAAAACTATATGGTGGTTTCTCAAACAATTAAAAAATACAATCACCCTATGATCCAGCAATTCCACTTCTGGGTACATACCCCAAAGAACTGAAAGCAGGGACTCAGATATTTGCACACAAAAGTCTGGAGCAATAAGAGTCATAAGAGCCAAGAGGTGCAAGCAACCCAAGTGTTCATAAACAGATAAACGGATAAACAAAAGATGGTATATGCACATGATGGAATATTATTCAGCCTTAAAAAGGAAGGCAATCTTGGCACATATGACAACATGGATGAACCTAAGGACAGGATCTCGCAAAAGGACAGATACTGTATGATTCCACTTAAACGTAAGAGCTAGAGCAGTCAAATCCAGAGAGACAGAAAAGAGAACGGTGGCTCCCAAGGACTGGGGAGAAAGGGAGGTGGGGAGTTGTTATTGTGTAACAGGTACAGAGTTTCAGCTTGGGAAGATGAAAAAGTGCTAGAGATCACTGTGCTGATGGTCGTACAACAACGTGAATGTACTTCGTGCTACTGAACTGTACACCTCAAAATGGTTAAAAGGGCAAACTTTGTGTTAAGGATATTTTACAGGAATAAAAAAAATGGGAACAAATATTGGACAATGTTAACATTAATTCTTACAGTAGGTACCACGGGTGTTTGCTGTATTGTTTTCCATTCATTTTTATCCATGTGCGTTTGTTAAATTGTTTTCCATTTGTTTTTACTTGTTTGAAATTTTTCACCAGAAATGGAACAAGCCAACAAAGACTACACTGGAAGCATCCCGGAAGTATGGGTCAGTAGAAAGTCAATTTCCATTACCAAACCATAATAAGGTTGAACACTCATGGTCCTTAGCCAGGAACCTTCTCCCTCAAACAGCATGCTAATTTACAAATAAAAAAATAAACACCGACTACATTAAATATAATGAATTAAAGAACTAAAATCTCTCATAAATTAAAAACTACTAACAAGCCAAGAAGAAACAAACTAATAATCTGCTAGAAAAATGAGCAAAATACATGAAAAAGAGAATTTATCAAAAAGAAATGCAAATGGTCCTTAAACATATGGGAAGATGTGTAAATTTACTCATTTTAAAAGAAATGTAAATTAAAACTACACTGAGATATCAGATTGGAAAAAAAATTCCAAAGTTTGACAACATACTCTATGGTAAGGCTGTGCTTAAGCAGGTAAAGCACAATGACAACCCTGGTGAAGAGAACTTGGCAATACTAGCAAAATACATATGTATTTACCTTTTGATCCAGCAATCCCACTTCTAGGAATCTCTCCCAAAGATATGCTGGCAAAAATACAAAGACATGTACAAAGCTATTCGTTGCAGTACTATTTGTAATGCCAAGATTGGAAACAACCCAAATGTCCATCAGTAAGGAACTGGCTGAATAAAATAAGGTCCCTACATCCATATGGCTGTAAAAGGGAAAGATTACTACATACTGATGTGGGATAATTTCCAGTATCTAAGAGATACGACTATGAATATATATATGTATGTAGTCACACACATACTTGTTTATAATTTTTAAATGAACAACAGAAGAGTAAAATAATAAAAACCAGTTGCATATATAGGGAAGAATGAAAAGGATGAATAGTATCAGATTGAAAATGGGAATGTTACATAATTTTGACTTTATCACTATGTAGATACTTTATAAAATTTTAGAAACATATTTAAATCAAAAGAAAAAAATTCCAACTGAAACAAATATGCCTGTTGGTGACATAACCACAAGGAAAACAGGATTACTTCACGTCATATTAAAATATAATATCTGACTGCAAACCCCAGTGGAATATATTTAGAGGCAAAAACCATGAAGAAATTTTAAACCTCACACTGATATTAATACTTGGAATGTTGGTACTGTTGAAAAAATTATAGAAATATTATAGGGTAAAAATAAGTGATATTAACATCATTATGAAACAACACAATTCCAAAAGAAAAGAGACACAAGCGTAAAAGCCCTGCAATTTTAAATTAAAATTGTGAATATAAAACAAAGCCATCGGACTCTTTTCTCTTCAAAAGACGTGTAGTTTCCAGCTATGTCAATGGATAAGGCCTACAAGAAACGACAACCTAGTATCAATGAGCACCCCAGCACCCAGACTGCGGTCTCTAAATATTATATCCACTATCAATAAAAAAGAAAAATACACAGTTTCCCTGAGAAATGGTAGACTGTAAGTCTGGGGCAGAAAATGTGCAAGAGGTACCTGGGAATCTTACTACCCTAGAAAGCAAGGACTGGAACTATCAAAGATACATGACATCACACCAAAAGAACACAGGAACCAATCTGAAAGAATGCTCATTGCTAGAATGGGGCAATTTGATCATCAAATGAAGGATGATAGCAATGGAATCAAACTCATCACATATGTGTATGTGTGTGTATACGCATGTGTTTGCACATGCACATGCATGCACTTTAAATCCATGAGTTAACAATAACATTTAAAACAAAACACTGATAAACTTCCTAAATGGCAGAGTAAGTACCTCGGTGAACCCACTCTCCCAGAAAAGTAGCAAAAACGCTGGCTAAAAATGATGAAAACCAATTATTTCAAAGTTGTGAAATTAGCTGAAGGCACACAACAAACGGAAAAGTTAACTATTCAAGACAAGCCACTGGACATGGTTAGAAGAGCAGGGTTGTGGTTTAGGTTGAGACTATTCCCATTCCTCATCCTTCTTCAGCTCAAAATAGAAATTTTAGAATTGAAAATACATAACCATAAGAAAACTCCATAGTAAGCCCCTTAGCAGAATAAAAAGGATAGAGGGAAGAATGACTACAATTAAAGACTGAGGAAAGAAAAAAAAATGAAAAGAGTGTGGGACAGCAAGAAAAGATCTAACACTGGTGCCCACAGAGTCCCAGAAAAAGAGAAAGAGAACAGGGCTGTACAAGTATTTGAAGAAATAATGGCTGAAAATTTTCCAATTCTGGCAAAAGACGTAAGATTCAAGAAACTAAGAAAACCCCAAACAAGATAAACCCCAAGGAAATATGTGCAAAGACACACCAAGTGTCAAACTTCTGAAAACTAAAGACAGAAAAAAACCTTGACAGCAGGAAGAGAAATTTAAGGTGAATGGAGGCGAGGGAATTCCAATGACAGCAGATTTCTCATCGGAAACCATGGAGGCCAGAAGGCACAGTATTTTTCAAGAGATGAAAGAAAAGAATTTTCTACCCAGAATTCCATTTCCAGCAAAAATATCCTTCAGTAATTAATAGGGAAATTAAGGCACTGTCCTAGGAAGGTAAAATATTTTATCACTAGCAGATCAACCCTAAAAAAATTCTATAAACAGAAATGGAATGACAGAAGAAGTAATCAGAAAATCAGGAAGGAATAAGGGACAATTTCAAGAGTAAAAATACTGGAAAATATAATACATTTTCCTCATCCTTCTGACTTTAAATTATGTTTGACAGTTGAGGCAAAATTTAACAGTGTCTGATGTGGTTCTCAAAGTCTGTAGAGGAAATATTTAAGACAATTATAAAGGTAAATAGATGTAAAAGTAGGTAAAGTTTCCACACTTGGCTCAAATTAATAAAATGATGACACCAGCAAGTATGCTAAGTTATGTATAGATAGTGTTCTACCTAGGGCAACCACTAAACAGCCATACAAAGAGATACGTTCAAAAACACTATATACAAATCAAAATGACTTGAAAAACAGTGACAATACCAAATGGCAGAGGGGGATGTGAAGAAACCAGATCTCTCATCCATTGCTGGTAAGAATGTACAGCCACTCTGGAAAGTAGTTTGGCTGTCTCTTTATTAAACATATGATCCAGCAATTGTGCTTCTGGGTATTTACCCCAGAAAAATGAAATCTTAATGTACATGATTGCTCACAGCAGCTTTATTGTAATAGCTAAAAACCAGAAGCAACCAAAATGTACTATAGTAGATGAAGAGTTAACCAAACTGTAGTACACCCATGGAATACTACTGAGCAATAAACTGATACATGCAAGAATTTGGATAGCTCTCAAGGGCATTATCTTGAATGAAAAAAGCAAATTTCAAGAAGTCATATACTATGTGATCTATTTATGTAACATTCTTGAAATAACACAGAGATGGAGAAGAGACTAACAGTTGCCTGGGGTAAGAGAAGATTGGGGGACAGTGTGGGATAGATGACGGGGATAGTAGAGAAGAGCTCTTTGTGGTAAGGGAACAGTTCTGTATCTTGACTGAGGTTATGGGAAGCTACATGTGACAAAATGACAGAGAACTACATATACTTTATACATAGGTCAATTTCCTGGCTTTTATATTGTACTATACTTAGAGGAGATGTAACTAATGGTAGAAACTGGGCGAAGGGTACACAAGACCTGTCAGTACCATCTTTGCAACTTCTCATGAATCTATAATTATTTCAAAATAATTCAAAATAACTATCAAAATTAAATTTTTTTAAGACGTCTGTTCATAAAAGTTATTTGCTTTTTCAGCAAACATTATGAGGACCCCCTAGTGCCAGGTTCTCTGCTAGGGACAGAGAAAGAACTCATATCTTCAAAGAGCTTCCCGTTCAGTGGTAGAAAGACAAATCAGACAACACAGGTAAGTAAGAGAATTCTGCACTGTGAGAAATGAATTCTGCTCAGCAAAACCAATACCTGCATCAAGCTGCTGCTCCCCGTTCATTTCCACAGAACATGAGCTGTCTCCTCCCCACGCAAAGGGCAGGCCTTACAGTTCTGCTATGATCTGAAGATTACTTGCAGGTCTCAAGCATTTGCTCAATGGGCATCCAAGGGTCCAAATGAAAGTGCTGGAAAATCAAAAAGAACACATAAACAGCCTGAATCCCAAGCATGTTTACTCATTCATAAGACCTGGTACTCCAATGAGTTAGGAGGGCACATAAAACAGACACACACTGGCAGAATAGAGAGGATTAGAGAAAAAAATGGATACCTTTCCTAATTTTGGAGACTGCGTATGTAAATGTGTGTGTGTGTGTGTGTATGCAGAGACTGCACTACCAAGATCTTGATATCTAAAAATCACAACAAACTAACATGTATATGAATCACTCTTTAACCTTAGATGTAGGATTTAGCACCATGACTCCTACCCACAAAAACCCTAATTCCTAATGAATTTCTGAAGGAAGAAGGTAGCTTTCAATGCTCTGTCTTATCCAATGAATAAGATTAAGGATATATTACTTTATCTAGTTTTTTATTGCATTTATCTAGAATATTATGCAGAACCAAAAAGTATCAATTACATTAGTCTACAGTTACACTTATAAAGGGAACCTCTCCAAAATAAGCTTTGAACCCATTTGTTTTTTAGAACAGCCTTATTATAATTCACATACCAAAATTTCCCACTTTAAAAAGTGTATAATTCCACAGTTTTGAGTAAATTTACAGAGTTGTGTAACCACCACTATATCCAGTTTTAGAATATTTCCCTTCCCCTGAAAAAACACTTCATACCCACTTGCAGTTCCTCCCCGTCCTGTCCAGGCACAGAACAAGTACCTGACCTTCCTAGGGCTCCACAGCGAGGAAGTAAGAGAACCAGGTTTCAAGCCAAGCAAAATGTCTATATTCCATGTCCTCAAGCACTGTATTTTACTGCCTCTCAGTGGGAAGCAACTGAGGGTTTCTTTATTTTTTTTAAAAAGATTGTATGTATGTATGTATGTATGTATGTATTTGACAGAGAGAGACACAGCGAGAGAGGGAACACAAGCAGGGGAAGTGGGAGAGGGACAAACAGGCCTCCCATGGAGCAGGGAGCCCGATGCAGGGCTCGATCCCAGGAGCCTGGGATCATGACCTGAGCCGAAGGCAGACACTTAACTGACTGAGCCACCCAGGCACCCCTGAGGGTTTCTTTAAACGTAGAAAGGAAATGATCAAATCTGTGTTTTAAAAAAGATCCCTCTGGACCCAAGTTGAGAAACCATAAGGGAATGACAGCAAAGAAAACATGTAAGCATAAGACTTCTACATGGCAAAAGACACCATAAATAAAATTCAAAGGTAAGAGAGTTTATCTTAAAAGTTCTCATCACAAGAAAACAGGTTTTGTTTTTTTTGTAACTATGTATGGTAATGGATATTAACTAGACTTACTCTGGTGGCCATTTTGCAATGTATACAAACATTGAGTCATTATGTTGTACACCTGAAACAGAATATTATTTGTCAATTATACTTTACTAAAAATAAATAAATAAATAAGACCATGGAGATGGGTGAAAATATTAGCAACACAGAATAGGTTCATTTCCATATACAAGCTCCTGTAATTCAACAACAATAAAAAAGAAAAATGGGCAAAATATATAACTGATCCACATTAAAAAATCAGAGTTAAAGCTTATAAAAATGTGTTCAATCTCATTAGGAATGAGGAAAATAATTTTTAATTATATACGACTTTTTCACCTTTCAGATTGGTAAAAATTTTAAAACTAAAAAAGTCCAGGGTTGACAAGGAAGTTGGATAAATGGGAGAACTTCAGAGTACACATTGGTACCACCTTTTTGGAGAAGAATTTAATGAAAAATAATTTAACTTACAAAGATTTAAAAGACACAAACTCTTTGAGCAGCAATTCTGGTATTAAGAATCTTTCATACAAAACACATGTGTGGGAGGCTTCATAACCAGTGATGCTTGCCACAGTATTATCTTTAATGGTGAGAAACCAGAGACAACCTATGTGTTTACCAAATGGGAATGGAATGGCCACATACATTATGATACACCTATACTGGGAAATACTCTACAACCATCAGAGGAATTTAGGTAGATCCATAAAAGCACATGGGAATGTTGTCTATACTGCTGAGTGGAAAAAGCAAATGAAGGACATTATTTATATTAACTTTTTAAAATCCTATATCCATTGTTTATTTGACTACATTTGTGACTTTTTAAAAAAAGATTTTATTTATTTATTTGAGAGAGAGAGCAGGGGGAGGGGCAGAGGGAGAGAGAGAGGGACAATGAGACTCCCAGCTGAGTGCAGAGCCCAACGTGGGGCTCAGTCCCAGGAGCCCGAGATCAAGATCTGAGCCAAAGTCAGACACCCAACCAACTGAGCCACGCAGGCGCCCCTACATTTGTGACTTTTAACAAATGATTTAACTCATTTGTGCCAATGGCATCATTTGTAAAAGACGGATAACAGTAATGTACCCACTTCAGAGGACCGCTATGAAGATCAGTAAGACAGTCCATGAACAGCACTCAGCATAGAACTGACCACGTGGTAAATGCTGAGTTAATGTTAACTCTCTACAGTGTTGACTGAGTCAAGTTCCTACGGCACTAACTTAGTGCATCATCTCTACAGAGAACACCTGTCTCTTCATCATGGGCTGATGGAGCAAAGCCAAGGCCACATAAATATCTGGTGGTTCAGTAGGCTTTGAAGATGTGATCCACTGCTTATGTTCATAAACTCTTGGAATATGCCAGCACATTTTGTGCAGAGAGCCACCTAACGCAAAATGATTACACACACACATACACACACACACATCATATATATAAAATAAGTGAAGCTTCAAAGCCAAGGACAAGAGAGTTGGGAAAACCACAAGACTTATGAAGCTGAAAGCTAAGGCTGTGATATTTTTTTTAAAGATTTTATTTATTTATTTGACAGAGAGTGAGAGAGCACAAGCAGAGGGAGAGGAAGAAGCAGGCTCCCCACTGAGCAGGGAGCCCCATGCAGGACTTGGTCCCAGAACCCTGGGATCATGACCCGAGCCGAAGGCAGACGCTTAATCGACTGAGCCACCCAGGCATTCCTATTTTTTCAATCTTACAGCATCACTAAGATTTTAACCAATGAACAATCAGTTCATCATCTTAATAGGATTATGAGAAATAAACTGATGAAGACTTTTGCTGTGGAACATCCGTTAGATCTCTTCATTGCTAGTATGCTCTCTTTCTATGCAATGAGGGGGGAAAAAAGCAGTAAAATATCCGGGAGCTTAGAATATGGAAATTTAATTCATTTTTCATTTATTTCCTTTTATTTCATTTACTTCCTACCATATTAAGTTGTTTTACTTTATTTTATCATTGATTTTGGTATTATAATTCCTCTTGTGGTGGGTGACCAAAACCCATTAGAGCTATTCATTTAAATAAGTTCTCATGAACTAACTGATCTAACCTTGCTCATCTTCTTTAGAATATTTTGGTGAAATACAGTGCCTAGATACTTATAAAGGGCTCTAAGAAGACATACTAAAGCCCTTATGAGCCATACTAAAAGCTAAGTGTACAAAATAAGCTTTGAGGTCAAACACACACGCACACACACACACACACACACAACAAAACAAAAATGAAAATGAAACCCAGGCAGAATAAAATGAAACTGAATTCACTATTTCATTTTTGGAGCTACATCAGTGTAAAACCATGGGATACTTCCCTTCTGACAGCTCTTTTAAAAGGCCTAAAAGCCATGTGAACAACAACCAGCCTTCATCTTGTTTTAGCTTACACGTGCAGTCCACACCCTAAGCCTCTACTAGGCCAGCTTCAGGTTAATGCACTTTGTTTTCAAGGCTAAGACTAAACACTGAGTAAGAGCATTATTACATGGAAAAATTACAATAATGCAAGAGAGATTTCTGTGGGAGAGATCCTCAGTCAAAATCATTTAACAGTTCCAACACAAGTAACTTTTAAAGCACTTATGTAGAAGGAAAGAGACTAAGTGTGGCTCTAGAGGTAGGTATCCAGTCCATATAGTAGTTGCAAGAAAATACTTTAATTCAGTAAGTATTTACCAGGTAGTTAAAAGGAAAATTCCCATTGAAATGTTTAAATTTTCACTCTTATCCCTCAACTTAACAGATGGAAGTCCAGTAATAATTTCAAGTATGCTGTTAAATGTGGTAAATGCAAACAATTCAGCAAATCCGATGCTCTATTTTGGGCATATCTGTAAAGTAAATGCCCTAGACAGCAAATGCTAATGGTAGCATCACTGTACTGTTTCGTTCCCCAACAGATGTAGCTTCTGACTGGCTCTACAACAGTCAAATCATTACTCCCTGACCTTGTACACATCCTCTCTGACAGGCCACCTAAATTAAATGTTTTGCTTCCATCTGTCAAATGTCAATGTAATTTGATTATTAGGGATAGACATCTTCCATTGTTTCATTAAGTTGTTTATTGCTGTTGCTTTTAACCCACTGCTCCATGTCTAACTAGGGAAATTAAAAAAACAAATTAAGTCTAATAAAGTCAATCTTAGCCACTCACATCGTCTAAATTAAATCTGACCCTAACTTAACTTTTCCATGATTATGTAAACCCAACACAAGGCACATCTATCGCAGTCGAACAAATCAGTACTAATGAATTTATAAAACCAATAAAACTTCTAAACAAAACCCAGAACTCAAGAATACCTTAATTTTTTTTTTAAAGGTATTCAACGTTACTGTCAGGAAAACGCAAATCAAAACCACGTTGAGAAATCACCTCACACCTGTCAGAATACTATTATCAGAAAGACAAGGTAACAAACTTTAGCAAGGATGTGAAAAAAGGGAACCCTCGCATGCATTCTTGGTGGGTATGGGAATTGGTTGCAGCCACTGTGGAAAACAGTATGGGGGTTCCTCAGAAAATTAAAAATACAAATAACATATGATCCAGCAATTCCCCTTCTGGGTATTTATTTGAAGGAAACAAAAACAAGAACTCAAAAAGATATCTATACTCCCCTATTCAATGCAGCATTATTTACAAGAGCTAAGACATGGAAGC